GCGTCCCTAGTGGCACTTTGCATGGGTCCCATGGTGTTATTCAAGGCTTATGGTATTGCATGAAACACAGTGAAAAATACACGAGAACTGGATGAGATCACTTTTTACAACGATACAAATTTACTGGAGAGACAAGCTATTCATGCAGAGATGATTAGCATCACACAGCATTTTAAGCAGATACTCGCAACACTTAAGCTCACTGTAACAGCAACTGGAGGTGGCTAGGAAGTGATACAGTAATACAGTATGGACCACAGTCGATGATTTTATGCAGTTATAATTTAATACTACATCATTGTATTTCTCTCGACTAAATGGTGCCATGTATATTCTGAGTAACTTTTGATGAACTTCAACTTTTTAGAACAGATTTGTATACATTTTATGATCGTAAGTAATAAAATAGTATCTACATATATTTTATGCATTCACAACATACCTAGTTTTTCTTATTTTCTTCAATACTTATAGGCTACGTGGTTCATCTGCTAGTTTTTAAAAATTGTTGCAAATCTCCAAAAAATTTTCCCATGTTTATTAAAAAAAAAAAAATCTGTGTGTAAGTGGACCCACACAATTCACACCCATGTTGTTAAAGGATCAACTGTGTATGCTGCAAATAATTTCACCCCCACAGTGAAGACTTTTTTCCTAACTAGAAATAAACGAGGCACATAGTATAAAGTTTGTGCGAGAACATTAAAAGATGTAAAATTTCCTCTTACTGGATCTATAGATTCAATGCAATTCCAACCAAAAATCCAACATGAATTTTCAGTTAATCTTCAAAGCTGTTCTAAAGTTTACATAAAGAGTGGTAGCTATGGTCCCCACAAGGGCAGAGAGGTCTGCCTTTACAAAGATTTAATTACACAGCTTTATAACAAAACAAAATGATACCGTTACAAGGATAGAGAGATCTGTGGAACAGAAAAGACATCTGAGTATATATAGAGAAAAAAAATGAAATTGGATCCCTGACTCATACCATACCAGAAAATCAAATCTACGTATATCAAGGACTTTTATGTAAGAGGCAGAAGTACAAAAACTATTCTAAGAAAACTCAGGAGAACTGTTTTTTGACCCAAGGTTCCAAGCAATTTTATAAGCAAGACACAAAGAATACTAACCATAAAAGAGACGATTTATACATTTAACTCCTGTGTTCTCAAATCTTAATGTAGAGGAAAGACAAGTCACAGACAGGGAGAACATGATGGGCAAAAAGGTATTTCACAAGGGAAGCAACACAAAAGGCATGAAAAACTGATTCACTCGTCAAAAACTCAATTAAGGGGCACCTGGGTGGCTCAGTCTGTCTGTCTTCAGTTTAGGTCATTATCTTGTGGTCCTGGGATCAAGCCCCACATAGGGCTCCCTCCCTGCCCCGCCCCTTCCATGAGCATGTGTGCTGGCTCTCTCTCATCCCGAGGTACGTGCTTTTTCAAAATCTCTTTTTTAAAGATTTTATTTATGTGGCCGCCGCGCAGTTAATGGTGCACGCGGTTTTGAAAGTGGGGAGGGTCCTGTCCCAACGAAAGTTACAGAGTGCTTGTGTTTAAAAAAAAAAAAAAAGAAAGAAAAGAAAAAGGATTTTCTTTATGTATTAAAGAGACACAGAGCACTCATGAGATTGAGACAGAGAGAGAGAGAGCGAGCGAGGGAGTGAGCAGGGATGGGGGAGAGGGAGAAACAGATTCTCCGCTGAGCAGGGGGCCTGATGTGGGGCTCGATTTTAGGACCCCAGGATCATGACCTGAGCCAAAGGCAGATGCTTAACTGAGTTACCCAGATGCCCCTCAAATAAATAAAATCTTTAAAAAAAAACCCCAAAAAACAAATTAAAAAATGGGCAAAGGATCTAAACAGACATATCTCCAAAGAAGATACACAAATGTCCAATAAACACACAAGATGTTCAACATCATCAGTCGTTAGGGGAATGCATATATCAAAACCACAGTAAGATACCACTTCATACCACTACAATGTAATAAAAAGACCGTTAACAGCAAGTGCTGGCAAGGATGTGGAAAACTTCAAACCCTTGTACAGTGCTGATGGGAATATATAAAATGGTACAGTTGCTTTAGAAACAGTCTCGTAGTTCCTCTAGAGATTAAACATAAGTCACCACACAACCCAGTAATTCTATTCCTAGGAAAATAGGTATGTACTCAAGAGAACTGAAAACATTCGTCTGCACAAACACTTGTACACAAGATATCCACAGCTGCATTATTCGTAATAGCCAAAAGGGAAAACAACCTATCAACTGAGGAATGGATAAACAAATGTGGAATATCCATACAGTGGAGTATTATTTGGTAATGAAAAAGTATGAAATACTAATACCTGTTACAAAGAGGATGATTTCTGAAAACTTTATACTCAGTGTAAGAAGCCAGTCACAAGAGCCCACATATACATGATTCCATTTATACAAAACGTCCACACAGACAAATCTATAGCACTAGAAAGTAGATCAGTGCTTGCCTGGTGCTGAGAGAGGGAGCAATGGGGGAGAGACTGCTAATGGATCTGGGGTTTCTTTTTGGGGTGATGAAAAGGTTCTAAATTTAGATCATGGTATAGAGGCACAACTCTGCATACACCAAAAACTACTGAACTTACTATCAACTTTAAATTAGTGAATTGTATGAATTAAGGGAATTAAAACTGTTAAAAATGATTCATTTCACTAATAAACAAGGAAATGCAAAGCAGGACCAAATACAATTTTGGTCTTTTCTATCCACCAGATTGGCAAAAATTAAGTTGTCTGACAGTTTCTTATAGAACAAAGGGAATTCTCATACATTGCTGGTGGGAATGTAAGATGATGACGTTTTATAAAAATAACTTGGCAATATTTATAGAAATGAACAATGTGCAGTTCTTGTATTGGTATATATACATGTTAACTGGAAGACAGGTATAAATATCAACTAACAGCACTGTTTTTTTGTTTTTGTTTTTTTTAAGATTTTTAAAATTTGAGAGAGAGCAGAGCAGGAGAGAGAGGGCGCAAATAGGGGGGTGGGGGGCAGGGAGAAGCAGACTCCTGCTGAGCAGGCAGCCTCATGTGGGACTCAATCCCAGGACCCTGGGATCTATAATAAGCAGATGCTTAAAGACTAAGCCACCCAGGCACCCAACATCATTGTTCCTAAAACAAAACTAGCACAAGAGAACAATCTACTGACTAATAAAAAAACAGATAATGGGGACGCCTAGGTGGCTCAGTTGGTTAAGCGGCTGCCTTCGCCTCAGGTCATGATCCCGGCGTCCTGGGATCGAGTCCCACATCGGGCTCCTTGCTCAGCAGGGAGCCTGCTTCTCTCTCTGCCTCTGCCTGCCACTCTGTCTGCCTGTGCTCGCTCTCCCTCTCTCTCTCTGACTAATAAATAAATAAAATCTTTAAAAATTAAAAAAAAAAAACAAAAAAAAAACAGATAATGAAGTTTTGATGTGTTCATACAATGGAGTATTAGGCATATGTGAACAACATGTATCAGTTTGGAAACAATGCTGAATTGGTAAAAGCCCCAGATTACATTCAGGTGTTTTTTGTTTTTTGTTTTTTTAGAGCCAAAAAAGTATCAAAACTAAGGTATCTTGTTTAAGGATACGTACATGATAATTACTAAAAAAATAAAATCCAGAGAATGATAACCATGAAATTCAGGAATATGATCACTGCTAAGGGGCAGGCAAGGGACAGATAGGTAGGATGGGGAGAGGCATATAGGTAGATGCATCAGTAGTGGGAATATGTGAGTTCTTAAATGGGATGATGAGTTCCTGGGTATTTCTCAGGTTTCATAACTTATGTGAGTGACATGTATTCTCCTGAATGAAGCACATATTACCTAGTAATAAACTGTAACAGACTCAGACAAATCAATGATTAATAGTCACCTATAATGAGTTACCATTAATGACTAACATATTTTAACACTGATTCTTCCGATTTAATATTGATCGTTCCACAGATCCTTAGCTCTGTGCAGAACCATACACACAAATACTTAATGTGTATTCTATTTTTTTTTTTAAATTTATTTTTTGAAAATATTTATTTTAGAGAAAGAGCAGAGTGAGGGGCAGAGGGAGAGAGTGAATCCTGAAGCAAACTCCCCACTGAGCAGGGAGGCTGACGTCGGGCTCAATCCCAGGACCCTGAGATCATAACCTGAGCCGAAATCAAGAGCTGGCTGCTTAACGAACCGACACACCCAAGTGCCCCTAAGATGTTATTTTTAAGTAAGCTACCCCCAGTGTGGAGCTTGAACTCACAACCTCAGAATCAAGTCATATTCTCTACTGACTGAGCCAGCAAGGTGTCCCTTAAGGTATGTATTCTGAAGTGAAAGGTCTTGTCAAATTAGCCTCCTGACAGCTCATACTGACTACATGTTTATGAACCCAGTCTAAGTAGTTTTCATTTTCTCAGACTTCTGCAAATACTCAGGTATAAATCTTTTTAATCTTTGCCAGTTCTGTAGGCAATAAAGACCTCCTACGGTTAAGCATTTCTTTGATCAGCACCAGAGCAATCTTTTTTGCACTTACTGTAGACATTTCTAATTCTTCCATGAGTTGATTAGTTCCTTCTTTTGCCCACTTTTCTACTGGGATATTAATCTTTCTAAAAACCTATCTACTACGGTGAAGAACTCATCAATTGGGACCACGAACCCTTTTTCACATATGTTGCAAATATTTTCCTAATTTCTCATCTGTCCTCACTTTGTTTATGATGGGTTTTTGGGTGGGGGAGAGGGGAAGAAGGGAGGATACAGATCTGTTTATAAATGGTCCAATTGGTCTTTTAGAAGCTCCTTCCCACCAGAGAGAAGAGAAAAATTCTATTCCTCATTCTCCAAATTTCACAGTTTGATTTAAGATTTAAATTTTTAATTCTAAATCTGTACAACCTGGAATTTATTTCAGAGTCTTGGCTCAGGCCCGATTGAGGGCTTCATACTCACCAAAATGGGCAATAAAGACATCCCATCCATCTGTGTCTTATTCGGGTTATATCCAGCAATATCCAAAATAGTAGGACCCAAGTCAATGTTGGCAACGAGCATCTATGAGAATGAGGGAAGAAAAACAAGCAATCTAGAACACAGTTGGTCTGGTTTTCCTTTTCTATCATACAGCTCTTCCCCCACCCCACCCATGAGACAAACAGCATTTGCTATTATCTTTTGTACAGCCCAGACTTACTGAGATCTTACTCATTGATTCATATAATTATAATAATTCAAAAAATGAAACATAAAGGTTTCTAAGACTTGTAATACATGCCCCTGGGAACTTATGTATCTATTCAACCCACACCGTTATTGAGCAAAAAACATTTTTCAAAACATTTTTCGTAACTTCTTTGGGACTGCCCAAAGTCTGATGAATCATGAGAAAATGTTGCGCTATTTTACACAAAGTGTTTACAACATGTATTTCTACAGTTCACTAAATTTGATTTCAAACAGACTCCTGACATTTTTGAAATCTTCAGAGGGTGAATGCTTCTTTTTATCCTTTCCTTTTTATTTTTTTTAAAAGATTTTATTTATTTATTTGACGGAGAGAGACACAGCAAGGGAGGGAACACAAGCAGGGGGAGTGGCAGAGGGAGAAGCAGGCTTCCTGCTGAGCAGGGAGCCTGATGAGGGGCTTGATCCCAGGACCCTGGGATCATGACCTGAGCCAAAGGCAGATGCTTGACAACTGAGCCACCCAGGCACCCCAGGTTGAATGCTTCTTATCAAGGAAGATATTAGCCCTTTTTGTAGTTTCTCAAAGTGGTAACACTATTAAAAAATGTTTGCAATAGGAAGGTAGAGGGGAGGGATTTAAAAAAAGATTTTTGTACTAGGCTTTGGAGACTGCAGAAAACTCATTCCAACAGTGTACTGACAGGAGTTTCCTTAAAGAGCACAAAACTAAGATGGGCTAAATAAACACTTTAGGCATTAAAGTCACTGTCCTGCATTTACACCTTGCCTTATTCCTTTGGTCTATTAGTCTATTTTACTTCTGTATACAAATCCTCTTTAGGACCTAAACCAGCAAACTCCCACAGAAATATAATAGGACCACATATGTAATTTAAAATTATCTACTAATCACATTAAAATAAAAAGAAAAGGGGAAGAAATTCATTGTATATATTTTATTTAACTTGATATGTCAAAAATAGTACTATTTCAAATGTAAGCAATGTAAGACATTTAGTAAGAGTTTATCTTTTTTTTTGAGCTGAGTCTTTGAAATCTGGAATGCTGTACTTGTAACACATCTCAGTCTGGACTATCACATATGTTTTGGCTCACCAGGCACGGTGGCTGGTGGCCACTGTGGTGGACATGCAGGCCTAAAGTCACTTAAATCACAGGCTAGGGAAAACTCAGAGTGGTGAAGACAATCCACTAGGGATACCAGGGGAGCCAAGGTTTACCAAGCACCTATTCTGTGCCAGGCTTACGGTTTATCCTCTGTTAATCCTCGCTGCCACCCCAGGATGCAGTATTTCCCCTGCTTTACAGATGAGGAAGTGAAAGAGAAGTAACTGAAACAAAATCAAAAGCTCGTAACTTGAAAAGCTACCATGTACTGAAAGGAAATAAAAGTCTTCAGGATTGTTGAGACAATGCAGAGCATCGTAGAAAGGCCAAGGTGGGGGGGATTAAAAAAGTGAAACCTAACTCAGGAACTTTTCATTTAAAAACAAAACCAAAAGTACAGACATAAAAGGCAAGAAAATGTCTTCAGAGCACTGTTCATCAGGGGCCAGGTTTCCTGGCAGCTATGAGGGCTCGTACAGGGCTGAGTAATATACTTATCTTGGCTCTGAATCAATTAGTTTAACGCTAAGCTTCCAGAAATCACCATTCAGTGGTAAGCCACTCACGGGAAAGGCAATCCTTTCTTTACTTTTATACTTAAGTGATAAAAGTTAGGAAATTAGATTCTAATTCTAGATTCAAGAATTAGAATGGATACTATGGGCCCATGAGCGTAATGACTTCTAGAAACACTAGCAATTCAAGTCCTAAAATAGTACTGCTTCTATCACTAAGTATAAAAGTTACTCAGGAAAAAAACTCACAAAAATGTCCCTAGGGATTATCCAAGACCCAGGGTAAGAGATATCTTCCCTAATTCCAGGTCTCCCAGGCAGACCGAGCTGCTCTGAATACAGTCAACGAGAGTGGGTATGAATACAGAAGAGATCACAGCAGGAGAGACGAGACAAGCAGAGCTATAACTTCAAGACTCGGATCAAAGCAACAAGACCCTGCCGTGTGACTCAAAGACCTTCAGTTATGTCTAGAACATGAGTGAAGTGAAGCCAAATCCACAGGTATTACTAACATGTCCAAGGCAGTTTTTATAAAGAAGAAAAAAAAAAGTAAACACCAAAATTGTAAAACCTACAGAGATTTAAAATGGTGACTGCCTGTTTCATCAGGAAACGCCTGAAGAGCCATCAATTATATGATGGGAGGCTCTCTCAAATGGCAGTCTCCTTTGTGGGGAGAAAGGTCTGGAAGTTAAAGTACAAATCAAGAGTCACTAAGATTTGTCCCAAGTATCACAGACATCATCCCAGGACTCTGTTCCCAGCTATCTGCAATAATCACATTTTCCCTAAAAAGTAACAAATTCTCTTCCCTTTTAGGCTTTAGTTTGACTAAGAGAGAAAGAATCTCAAAACCAGCAAACTACATCAGAAGATGGGAGACTTCCAGAGGATACTGAGCATGAGTGAAGAATCCAACAGAGACTTCTGTCTCTGGTTTTTACAAACAAGAATCAGAATGGATACTACAGGCCCATGATTATAATGACTTCTAGAAACACTAGCAATTCAAGTTCCTAAAATGGTACTGCTTTTATCACTAAGTATAACCTTAAAGATTCATTTATGGATTGGAATTAAGAAGCACTGACAAGACCAAAAGTAAATTATTTCATAATCGCAGCCTCACAGCTTGGGAATGTTCTTAGGATTTATGTATATAGATATTCTGATCAAATAAAAACCCTTAGAAAATTCTGGGGCATGAAATCAAAGGATATCATGCTTTGGAGCTGCTCATTTTTTTAGCTCTAGAAGAATGACAGTGCTATAGACAATTACGCAGAAAAAATAAGACTGCTCTACGAAGGATACACTGGGTTTCCAAATGGACATTTAAGCCCTGATATTACCGAATTCATGTAGAGTTATCAAAGGAAAGACTGCAAGCACACCAGACAGCACCTCAAATCCACGCAGCGAAAAGCACTGAACTACAGAAGAAAGGAGAAGACTCCCCACATCTTCGGCTACTCTGCATTTATCCCTCAAGCCCAGCTTCCCTACAGTGAAGAAGCCAGGGCGTCACTGAGTTACAGTTGTGAATTCTCCACTTACCATTCTCCCAATTTCACACAGGGAAACAAGGCTTACCTGGCCAGTCTTCAAGCCAATATGTTGTCTTCTTGACCCCCCAGTTCAGTTCTATTTCCCCTGGATCATGCTGTGTCATTTTTTTCTCCTACTAACCTTTTCCTTTCTTAAAACCCTTTTGATGAATTTCTACCACCAAATCTGAAGCTAGAATCACTTCCAGCCAGGAAAGAAAACCTCAGTAGGCCAGTCTTTGGCATCCACGCAACCACTTCTGTTCTGCTTTCCCAATGGCTAACACAAAGCTAAGCCCACTGGTCAAACGTACCCTGTTTTGACCATCAGCTTTTGACAGCTCAGCTTAATATGCCCAACTCATAACCCTGCGCCTCTCATGCAGGACGAATGGCACTGAGACAACTATCCTGCCAACACAGGATAAATGACCCACCATCTCTGACACTCTTTGTGCTAGATGGAGACTGAGCATTTCATACTTCTCAAACTACATCTGTCAGCCCAGCAGCCCCTCACCTCAAACTCCACCCCACCATGGATTTTGAGGAGACACAGTTAATTTTCAGTCCCGGTTCTGCCACTTACTATGTGACCTTGGTAATAACCAAGGTCAATTGGCAATTGGTCAATTCAGGCAACATGGATGGCCCCCAATGCGTGTTAAGGGCGGGGTATTCTAAGCTTAGACAGTGCCTCTCTTATAGGAACTCCCCCAAGTAAAAAAACACAAACTCAGCAGGGTGTGGTAAGTGTGAGGGCAGCCAGGACAGGGCAAGGGCACCTACCCCAAGTGGGGGTGGGGGGTGTAGTGACTTTCCAGGCAGAAACCCCAAACCAAAGCTCTCAAGGACAATTAGTGAAGTGGAAGGGGCATTCATGGGGCATTCCAAACAGAAGGAGCAATCAGCAGACAAAGACAAGGAGGTGAGAGAGATGAGAGAGAGAGAACCACTTCACTTAGAAGTGACAGTAGTTCGGTATAGCTGCCATTCTGTCCCCTGAGCAAGCCAAGCTCATTCTTCGATGTGTGCCTTCCCATTTATTGTTCTTCTCAGAATGCCCTCCCACAGATCTCTGCAGGACTAAACCCTTTCCAACACCCAGGTCTCTGCTCAGGTGCCTCAGAGGCTTTCACTGACAACTGTAGTGGAAGCATCTGGCTCTCCAGACACTGGGAATTAAGAACTAATCTTCCCTGACTGCTCAGTGCTGTGTAGCCAAGCCTGCTGGCATAAGATATTTAAATATTTTCTGAGCTATACTGTAATGGTTAGGTACAGACTCTGGAGCCAGACTCCGATATTTGATAGCAGACTCTGATATTTTATCTTGGGCATGCCATTTAACTTCTATGCCTCAGTTTCCTCACCTGTGAAATGGGTGTAACAGTATCTCTAAGTGGGTTCCTATAGCTAATACACTTAGAATAGCACCTGTCACACACTAAGCATTCAGTAAGTGATAGATATTCTTGTTGAAATGGTTTCCTAGGAACCAGGTTTCATTCAGACTGCTTGGAGAAGGTGAACTTTTCTGATTTTAATATTTAGATGCCGCTGTTAACTTGAAGATAAAGGGAATGGTTTGGTTGGTGGGCAGCTGGCTGACACATTCCATTCCGTTCTCATTCCACCTCCTTCCCCACGCTGGTTAGAAATGGCCCTAGCAGCCCTGCTCCTTGGAAATGCGCCCAGCTGCCAACATGTTTTGAGTCCACTCCAACACCAAGACCAAGAGAACACTTTTAAGACTAAGCAAAATAAGTCAATCAGAGAAAGACAATTATCATATGATCTCACTGACATGTGGTATTTAAGAAACAAGACAGAGGATCCTAGGGGAAGAGAGAAAAAAATGCAACAGGACAAAACCAGAGAGGGAAACAAACCATAAGAGACTCTTAATGTCAGGAAACAAACTGAGGGTTACTGGAGGGGATCTGGGGAATGGGTTAACTGGGTGATAGACATTAAGGAGGGCACATGATGTTATAAGCACTGAATGTTACATAAGAGTGATGAATCACAAAGAGACCTGTACCCTTGGGGCAAATAATACATTATATATTAATTTTTAAAAAAGAGTGATGAATCACAAACCTGTACCCTTGAAACAAATAATACATTATATGTTAATTAACTGAATTTAAATTTAAAAAATTCTAATAAATAAAGGGCTAAAAAAAAAAAAAACAAAACCCAGACTTAATGGTCCTCTAAACTTGCCTATCTCCTTTGAAAGGAGACCCATTCACATGGTACTGGATTTGTAGTGGGAAATGACTGGCTTTAGGAATGTAGGTGTTAAGAAAAAAAGAAAACTCAAAAGAAATTATGAAAGCCATTTTACCTTTCTGAAGAATTTCAACAGAATTCCATCATGAGCATTACAAAAAGAAATAAGGGAATTACATTTAAACATTAACCTCCAAAATTAGACTAAAGTACCTAGTATACCCAGAGAGTCTGGCCAATTTTCCAATTCTAGCTCAAGTGATGTATTTGCTCATTTTCTTTTGTCTCACAGAGCTGGGACTGAAATTGTGTTATTAGAGAAGACACAACTAGTAGAACCTATCAATTCTTACCTTCCAAGCATTAGACCAAAGTGTTTTGGATCAGAGTGTCTAGAATCTCTAGGAAAAACGTGCCTCAGTATTTGGTACCAAGTTTGGGAAAAGACACTGAAACCAAATGGGAATGGCAACAAAAGAAAGTGGTATATTATGACAGTTCTAGGAGAGAGAATCAGTAAAACAGAAATGCATGTGGGACAAGCAGTTCCACAGAGAGAGGGAAAAAAATCCTCAGAAGACATGCTTTCTATAGCCTTATATTCAGTGAGGTCAGACTGGCAGCAGCTATCAGCGGGGAGGTCAGATATGCAGAATCAGAATCTGCATTTTAACAAGGTCCCCAGAGGTATCTGCCTGAGCTCTGATCTACAGGGTAGTGGGCCCCAAACTGGGCTGCTTCTTTGTATTACCTGTGGGCTTAAGAAAAAAAGCAGAGGCTGGGTCCCTATTCTAGTCCAAGTGAGTCCACTAGAACCATTCTGGATGTTGAACCTTTCCCAATTTCAGAACATGATGTTGAGGACAGTGGTAAAAAGTCACTGCTCCAGGACAAAGTAAAGATTTACAGTCTCGAAGGACAAATCAAAGCTACTCCTAGTGATATATGTATATATGGGAGGATGGAGGGGGAGAATACAATTAAAAGAAGGTGGCCAGGAGTTTAAATAAATAAATAAATAAATAAACAAACAAACAAATAAATAAATAAGGGAATCACCGTCTCCAAGACTTATAAATACACTCATAAGATCTTAAGCCGAACACAATTCATCCTCGCAGGAGAAGTCTAATCAGCCTCCTCTTCAGAGAACAGCCTTCTTTTCTCAGGCAAATGCTACCTGTAAACAGCGTCAGCTTCTCAGGCACCTACCTTGCTTGTCTGATTTGGTTTGATCCCAGGTCCCCGAACCAGCAGTGGAACTTTGATATCAAACTCATACAGCTGTCTTTTGTCTATTGGCAAAGAAAACTGTCCTGAAAACAAAATACAGAGGGTAAAGAAGGAGCTAGGAAAGAAGTATCACACACATATTCAATCAATGGACAGTAAAAATGCAAACAACTCTGTTCTATTTATGGGGCTTTAATAGAAAGTTTACAATCGCTTAGGTCTCTTATTACTACAAGGCAGGAAATGAGTTCATCTTCTTTAAACAAATGCCTAGGGGGACTCCTTGGTCTAAGATAAGACAAATTCAGCAAAAACAATGACTGGAATGTACTGAAACACAAATACATAATTTATGTATGATACTCAACCTGACCACAACTGAATGAGGTTACTCTAAAAACTGTCAATAAAGAGCCAAAGCATTTATCTGACCTTTCCTGAATAAACTGCATTTCAAGATAACCAGTTGAGCTCTTCTCTAAGGAATTCCAACTAATAAATGCAAAAGGACAGTTATGAAGTCAACATTTTGCCATCTTTGAGAGAATAGTAGATTAAAGCAAGAATCCTCAATGGAACCTTCAGCCACGAAAGGTTCACAGGGCGGCTCAGGCTGACACCACATGAGCCGTCAATTCACAGCAGCATCGTGGAAGCGGGCCAACCAGACACCATCGCCAACTGATGTAACAGAAGTACGTATCAGTATCATCAAGGAAACATTCTTTCTGAAAATGGCGATTTTTAAAAAAAGATCTATTTATTTATTTATTTATTTGACAGACAGAGATCACAAGTAGGCAGAGAGGCAGGCAGAGAGAGAGAGGAGGAAGCAGGCTCCCTGTTGAGCAGAGAGCCTGATGCAGGGCTCGATCCCAGGACCCTGGGATCAAGACCTGAGCCGAAGGCAGAGGCTTCTGAGCCACTCAGGCACCCCTGAAAATGGCAATTTCTATTAAGCCTCTAGATCTAACTACCCATCTATAGAAAATGCTGACTAAAGAAACACAAGTTAAGGCATCATGAGAATGCAATTAGCCAGATCTAGAATGTGAGATATTCTGAACAAAAAAAACTTTTCCCAATAAATCAGTGGCAATAACAGTCTCAGGGCACATGAAAAAATACAGGTAGCATGCGGACTTCGTCTAGATCCTGATACGTCATAGATTAGTCAGAGGCACAATGGAGTGTTCATGTACAGAATCACAATGTCTGAAGTTTCTTCAAAACCTTCTAAACAAAATAAAGACAAACATGGGGAAGATAGGAATAATTCAAAAGACTGGCCACACATAGCTGAAAAATGAAGCTGGGAATGGAAGTTATTTTATTAGTCTTTACTTTGAGTGCTTAAAAATATTTACAACGAAACATTAACTGCCTCATCAATCTGCTCCCATGCCAGCAAGCCCCAGGTCAGTAGTTTTCAAGTTTATGAAACTGATAGGCTGGGAAAGAAGACATTCATTTTTAAGAATATCCAAGTGGAAAAAGGGAAAGTTAAGGATATGGGGCTGACTCATATAGAGTTTTAAAAAGACAAAACATAAAACAAAAAGATACATATACATACACACACACAAAAATCAATAAAACACCTCACAATTTCACAAGAAAGGGGTTTTCCCCTAAGACAGCCTTCTCCTGGTCTTTTTTTTTTTTTTAAGATTTTATTTATTTGACAGAGAGAGAGATCACAAGTAGGCAGAGAGGCAAGCAGAGAGAGAGAGAGAGAGAGAGAGAGAGGAGGAAGCAGGCTCCCTGCCTAGCAGAGAGCCCGATGCGGGCCTCAATCCCAGGACCCTGAGATCACGAGCCGAGCTGAAGGCAGAGGTTTAACCCACTGAGCCACCCAGGCAGCCCTCTCTTGGTCTTTCTATGTAAAATCTCTTACCCCTAGTCTACTTGCCCTTTAAATCTAGTTCAGTTTCAGGGGGCCTGGGTGGCTCAGTCAGTTAAGCGTTTGCCTTCGGCTCAGGTCATAATCTCAGGGTGCTGGGATAGAGGCCTGCAACAGGCTCCCTGCTAGGGAGCCTATTTCTCCCTCTTCTTCTACTACTCCCCCTGCTTGTGTGTGCTCATGAGTGCGCTCTAATAAATAAAATCTTAAAAAAAAAAAAAAAATCTAGTTCAGTTTCTTCCTTTTTTTCCTAAAGCCTATCTCTAATCTAACAAGGTCACTCTCTACTCCCAACTCCTAGAACATCATGTAATTTGGCACATGAAATAGCAAATAATGACACTTGGTTTCCCCATGTTTGAATGAGTTGACCCTCTAACTAGAGGAGTCCTGAGGGCAGGAGCCTCCCCCTCTGGCCTGCCCACTGCTATAACAGGCCTAGAGCTCCCTGCTAGTGCTACTGACTGGGTGAAAAAGGAAAGGCACCTAATCAAGGCCACAGGAATATGCCAGTCTGCCCCTTACCTGTGTGGTAGCCGTTGTCTGAGGTATAAAAGATGTAAGTGTTGTTTATTTCCCCATTGAACTCAAGTCTCTTGACCAGTTTCTCCACAAGGTCATCAACTGACAGTAAAGTTTGCCACCTGCATGTACACAGAGAGTGACAATAGGATTTCAGAACAATAGCTGAAGGAATGCTATCTTGCCAAAAAAGCAGGAGCAAAGTCCAAAACAAAACCACCCAAAGTCCTCAAACCTCCTTTCCTCAGACCCCTCACTGCGGGGAAAAACGATTAGAAAATCCCAGAACATAATGAGTTCATTCCAAATTTAACTGTTTCCAAAGAAATAAATGAGGCTTTTAAAAGCAGTTAGTTTTATTAACACTGGTGATGACCGCAGAAAATGGAATTGACCCCTAAACTAGGGGTCAACAAGCTATAGTGATGGGCCAGTTTGCCCACTGTTTTTGTTTTTTAAATTGTGGTAAAAAAACACACAACATAGAATTTACCAACTTAATAAATTTTAAGGGTACTAACAATAGTATGAAGTATATTTACACAGTGAGGCAGATCTCCAAAATCTTTTCATCTTGCAAATCTGACACTCTGTACCCATTAAACAATTCACCGTTTTTATACAGTTTTACTGGAACACAGTCGTGCTCATTCATTCACATAATGCCTAGTTCTACTCCAAAGGCAAAGCTGGGTAACTGCTACAAACGCTGTCTGGCCTGACACACTATGATTATTTACTCTCTGGTACTTTACAGAAAAAGTTTGCTAGCCCCTGATATAATCTAAATACATCTTTAGAGAGTGTAATGAATTTTTAAGAACTGACTTAAAGAAATTCCTTGAAATTCCAAATAGCAACAGCAAATATTCTGCTCTAGTCTAAGTCTTTGGGTCTTATGCAAATACTAGGCCTAATGTCTCACAAAGTGACCTTTTCTTCAGACACAGATAATTTTTTTTTTTTAACCAAATGGCTCCAGTTTGTAATTCTGTTTTAACAAGTCATGAAAATGAATTGTTTTATTAGTCCTCAGGTCCAAAGACCACCTCCTACACCTTCTGGGGCAGCAGACCCCCAAACAGTCTCTCCCATCAACTTGCTACCTATTGATTTTGTGTCAAAGATAACCATATTGTGCAGTCCCCTGGTTCATGGACTGATTTGGAAGGTCCTCAAAGACCACCCAGATTGCGCGAGTAGCAGCGCTTACCTTTTCCGAAAAGCATTATCTAAAAACTGTATTGAAGAATTAGTCATTGGGGTCTTGGCTTGCCTAATTAACCAGTGCTTGTTCTAAGATTTAAAAGAAAATAAAAAGTTAGCATGAAGTCATACAATCAAATAAACTGCTAGAGTACATAATGAAAAGGAACATTTTATACTTCAGCAAAAAGGAACTTACTGGAGCATTTAGGGAACTTCAGACTTCCTCTTCCCTGCCCCATGTGTTCCTAAAAACACTTTCTATAGATTATCACTCATTTTTTATCTTCCCAGTGCTCCCTAATGAAAGGAGGCCTGGGCTCCTTGTTAGCAGCATTAATCAGCATTTAAAGATATTTAGTGAAAGATACTGGGAAACTACTGGCTAAAAGGAGACTAAATCTGTAACATTGAGTCTATGCTTTGGGTCTACTAACCAAACTATAAAATGGTAAATATTAACTTTACCTTCCAATAATTTTTGCCCTAAAAATTTAGCCATTACTCTATCACCCTCTATTTTCCTACCCAAGATACTGATTATCCTAGAACCTTGGGAAAATCTCATCATAGCAATTTCCTAAAACCTCAAGCTCAAATCTAGAGAGTTCTTCTCATTTAAAAAAGCACTCATGGTTCTAAAAAACAAAAACATTCCCATACATCATTAATTCTCTCCTCTCTACTTATAAAGCCCTAAGTTACCACCTCCCAAACTATCAGCCTCAAAGTGTTCTTAGTTAATATGTTTGGGAAGTGTTATACAGCATATCCTCCTGCTGGAAATTCATGTTGGAACAGGAGTAACTGAGAAATTCTGCAACAGAGTGACTTAGTTAAAATTTCTAAACTTACTTTCTCATGAGAACTTTTATTAACTTCTTTTGGAACATAGATAATGGCCCTCTAGTTCAAAACTCAGTTCTCTCAGCTTTAAAAATCCTACCTAAGCACTTGCCTACTTGCCAGGCAACATGCTACGTATTTCTATGTTCTTCAGTCCATACTGCAGCTGCATGAGGAATCAGGACCTCCCACTTTATTTCTCCCACTTTAAACAGAGAAGCAGAAGTTAAGCATCTTACTCCCAGCTGGGTCACTTGGCTCAGAAATGGTAGTGCTGAGCCTAATCCAAGACTCATTCTGTCTACTACACCTCCCCAGCAATTAAGATTTCTGGGTAAAAGGCAAGAGGCAGTATAGAACTTCTGCCTTTGAACCAGTGAACAACCTACCCTCTGTGCCAAGGTTAGTGTAAGTAACTGGCATAGGAGGCAAATATTTAGTTTGTGGCCCTTAATTACATTCCCCGCTCTGGCTCACTTCTCCATTCAACTTCCCTTTCCAGTCATATTGCACTATGTCACCCCCTCTTTCCTGTGCCTCAGGAAAGGTGAGGGCCACCCACAGGAGGGCGTTGCAGGCCTAGCTCAGCCCCACGGGATGTATCTGAGCCACTGCCACATGGGAGGAGAGCTGGCACAGAAATTAGGAGAGCCTGTAGTCAGTAAAGATAGCACTTCTTTAACATTTCCTATAGATTCTCCAGCTGCTAACCGGACGCGTGGCAAGATTATCTCTCCTTCTGAAGCAAGTTTACGCTCTCTATTATACTCAAGACAGGCACAATTACCTTTAAAATATCTCGAAGAAAAACCAACTACATGGCTCAAAAGCTCCCTAACGAGGTAATATATAGTTACTTATATCAAGTGTGGTTTAATTCAAGGCTAGGGGAAGCTACCGTTCCATGGATGTTGAAGTTCTTATTCCTTGGTGCAAAGACGTTCTGGAAAGTCTTCTGGTACTGAGGTGCAGCTGTCCAAGGAGAATGAGGTGCTGGTGTGGAGATCATCATGAAGAATGGCTCAGAGTTGGACTTGTAGTCCAGGAAGCCCAAGGAGATATTAGCCTGAGATATACAAAGATCTGTCATCTTCTACCCTACTCAACAGTTCAGGACTTGAGAGATGCATATATACAGGGGATATAGATTTATATTAGCTTTTAATCAATCTTAAGAATTTTAACAATCTTAATATTAACACAATCTATGCCACAGTTATTACAAGTATGTTGCTGAAACAAATATTAGGGTTTTAGGCAATACTTATTTAAAAAAGTGGAAAAGCATACCATCCTAAGAAAGCAAATATGATCTTAGTGATTTCACATGATCTAAAAGTTGTTGTGCCTCCCATTAGGGTAAAAATAGTAATCTGGCTTTTTAAAAAAGAATTATTTTGCACTAATACGGCCTAAAGCATGCCTCTGTTGCCTTAAAATATATAAAAAGAGAGTCAATCTAATTCACAGTAGGACAGGTGGATTAAGTTACCTTAATCTTGGAAAAATATACAGAACATAGATATCATAAGTTATGCCAGCTCAAGCAGCTAAGCTAAATGAGTAACATTAAATCCAAACACATTCTACCAGCATTTTAACTTATATTGACTTACATTTTTCATTTGCTTATCTGGAGCTACATTATGAAAATGAAAGCATCCCACACACGTTATGTTTTAATTGTTCTAGTTGATTTATAGCGTCATTTATTCCCATCACTAATCTCAAAGGATACTGACTGCATCAATTTCTACGCACCTGGTTACTCCAGGCCTGTCAGAAGCCTGTGGTTCCAACATGCCAAGCACACTTCTGCCTCAGTCCCTGCAAACCCCTAATTCCCTCTGTCTGTGCACCCTTCCCACTGATCTGCACAACTCACTCTCACCTCTTTAAGCATTATCTAAGTAACTCCCATACCTTGCCAGATTTATTTGTCTACCTGATCACCAAGAGTGACTCTGTTTACTTAACACCTGCTATGCTGGGTGCTGAACTATTTGGTGAATGAATTCTCTGTGAAGGGCCTGTCATTAGAAACACCTTAGACAGGAAAGGAAAGTCCTAAATTCACCCAGTTTCAGGAATTTTATATAAAAATCCACAAAACCTTAAGAACTCCCAGTCCCTAGCTCCCCACCCTCATGGCGAAGCTGCCATTTCCTAGCTTGTGAGTGAATCTGGGGTCAAGAGTAAGAACCTCTAAAGTAAAACCTCTTCAAAGTAATCTCTATAGTCTTAAGAGATTAGCCTTTGGAAAAGGATTTGTTGCTGGAATTTCAAGAACATTAACTCTGAGCCTGGCTTATATACAAAGAAAAAGTCCCTCAGGAGTCTTTAATCAGTTGGAAATACTTTTTGGCAGTTAAATGAAGTTATTATTCATTCACATTACTCAACATGACCAAGTCCAAAGGTTTTCTAGGCAGAGGTTTCAATCGTGAGCCAAACTTGCAAGGACAGAGCCTTGATAACTCACCAGAACATCTGTCAGATAGTCCACACTGTAGTTTTCACCATGCTTCCGTGCCTTCCCATTGATAGACAGCGTATAGTTATAGTATTTAGAATTCTTTTCCTATTAGACAGGAAAGTAAAATTTGTTAAGCGGTCAGCACACTAGAAAGTCAGAAATCATGCTGGGCTATACTCTGTTGTAATAGGGATAAGACATTTTGGGTTGCCTGGGTAGCATGGTTGGTTAACCGTTAGACTGTCAGTTTCGGCTCAGGTTGTGGATCTCAGGGTTGTGAGACTGAGTTCCATATCGGGCTGAGACTCTCCTTCTGCCCCCCACTTCCCCAGCCCCAGTCAAATAAATCTTTAAAGAAAAAAAAGGCGTTTTTAAAAAAAGGTAATTACTTATTTAGTACTGAACTGGATTTTTTGACTAGAGTTTTATTAACTATTAGCACAGTTTCAATAATCTGTCGTAGTTTAAAAAGCCACAAGTAGATCAGATAAAACAGCAAAATATGTAACTAAACCTGGTATGATGCAGGAAAAACATCTCCCAGAGGAGTGACTCGCAAATCAACAGACTTTAAGAGGAGAAAATAGCTAATCATAAACGCAGAGCAACTTATGTCAAAATCAGAGCTAAATGAGAGAGGAAACATATTCTACATCTGTAGGGCTGTGTGTGTAACTGTCACCGGCTTCAATCATCACTCACCAAGGCATACCAGTAACTCCAGCCGAGAGGGACGTGTTCTAGTCCACCTGCATCTGGGGCTCCATACTGAAAAGCAAGACAAGCAGGACATCAGAAATGCTTAGCTATGACCAGATCAATAAGAAAGAGGAAGCTTTTAGAATCCTTTCAGATCAGTGCCTGAAACCAGATGTTCAATTTTCCCAAACACATGAACCCAGTCAAAAAGTAAAGAACACGAAAACCTAGGAACTACTGAAGGAGGAGTTTGTAAACTATGGCTGTAGGCCAAATCTAGCCAGCCAACGGTTTTATATCATCAGTAAGCTAAGAATTTTTTTCCATTAATAAATACAAACAGCAATCAATAGAGGAGTATTTTGTGACACGTGACAGTTATAGGGAATTGAAATTTTAGTGATGAAGTTTTTTTGGAACGCAGGTGCACTCATTTTGGTTTGTGTATGTCTATCTACTTTCATGCTACAATGGCAGAGTCAAATACAGGAGTCCCCCTTATTTGCAGTTTCATTTCCCATGGTTTCAGTTAACCAGTGGTCAACCGAAGTCCAATAGCAAATGAGCCTCCTGCCAGAAGGTGTCAATGCCTGTCATTCACCGCTCTTCTTCTTAACACGTAGGTATTTTATCATCTCACATCATCACAGCAAGGGTGAGTATAGTGCAATAAGACACTTTGAGAGACACAAGACTCACATAATTTTTATTGCATTCTATAGTTGCAATTGTTCTATATTGTTATTAGTTGTTGTTAATCTCTTACTGTGCTTAATTTCTAAGTTAAACTTTATCACGGGTACATATACATAGATAAAAACAGTATATGTAGAGTTCAGTACTATCCGTGGTTTCAGGCATTTACTCGGGGTCTAGGGAAGCATCCTCATGGATAAGACAGTGGGTGGGAAGTACTGTCATCACAAAAGAAAAGCTCAAAATATTTACTTCTGGCCCTTTCTAGAAAAAGTCCATATAGCTTAGGCCACGAAGTTCATTTCCGGAGTTACTGAAGGCAAAGACTGAACACTCCAACTGACCTTGTGGTTAACGACAACCAAAATAATCAGACTATGAGCTCTCAGCTTATAACTTCACTTGTCCTGATGATGAAACCTATTTTTGGAGCTCAATTTATTTGATGAGATGAATTAAGTGACCAGAGACTCATCCCATTTATCTCAACAAGGTTTAGTATTGCCCATTTAAGAAAGAATTTAATTTATGAGAAATCTTTGTATTTTAATGAATTTCTCCTAATTTTGTATACAGAATTTTTAAAAAAGATATTATTTATTTATTTGACAGAAAGTACACAAACAAAAAGAGTGGCAGGCAGAGGGACAGGGAGAAGTAGGCTTCCCCCTAAGCAGGGGGCCCGATGCGGGACTCAATCCCAAGACCCTGGGATCATGACCCGAGCTGAAGGTAGACACTTAACCAACTGAGTCACCCAGGTGCCCCTAATTTTGTATACACATTAAGTGATCTCTGATATGCAAAGTAGTATAAATTCTCTTTAGGACCCACATCTTATCTCAATAACCTAGTATCTGTACTTATTTCTCATGATTCTTTTCAAACTGACTTAACCTTCCTTCCAACTCACAAGGTTGAAAATTCTCCCAATTGTTGTGGGGAGGGAAAGAACAAACAGAAAATTCAGATTAAACATTAGTATCTTTAGGGGCGCCTGGGTGGCTCAGTGGGTTAAAGCCTCTGCCTTCAGCTCAGGTCATGATCCCAGGGTCCTAGGATCGAGCCCCGCATCAGGCTCTCTGCTCAGTAGGGAGCCTGCTTCCCTTCCTCTCTCTCTCTGCCTGCCTCTCTGCCTACTTGTATTCTGTCTGTCAAATAAATAAAATGTAAAAAAAAAAAAAAAAATTAGTATCTTTAGCAACCATGGATAAAGTATGTAAAAAAATGTACATCTTTTCTTTGTCCTGCATCCCCAGTTTTACTATGAGAGAGAACCCAGACACTCCCAAATAAACTATTTCCTCTAAGTTTGAACTCTAAGTAAAAGCTAAGGCCAATGTGGTGAATCTGGGGGCCATGAAATCTGGACTTGACCAGCTATAGTGGGTATCCCTTCATCCAGGCACCCAAGAGGCCAGCACATCCACCACTAAGCCAAATGCTGTAGTGGCCTAAATATCCCAGGCTCTGGGTATTTTCCCGCCATCAGTGATCACTCCACATTTTCGAAAATGGGAACAAACAGGGATAAGTCTGAAGTTGTTATAATGCAGGAAAGGTGGTAGAAGGAAAAAATTCTTCATTCTCTTCCTGATAAAGGGGAAATGGAGACAAAGATACCATGAGACGAACATGACAAGCAAAATCCTTGAAGAAAAAGGGGAAGATGCATCAGACAGCAGTAGTCATAGGACAATTAAAAAAAAAAATGCTATGAGGCTATCTAAAGGAAGAAGAACTATAGTACTTAAATCATGTAAATATTTATGTAAGTAAATTCTTGTTTAATGTGCAGATTAGGAGAAAACTATACCAAAAACATTTTAACATGACTCAAATGGATAATAATTTAAAAAAACATGAATTACATTAATTTACATTTATAAAGCTTTTTTTTTAAAAAAAAAAAAGGAATAATGAGATCATTCAACCTACCTCATTTAAGTATTTCCCTGCGAAAAAGGTTTGATAACCACACATTGATCTGAGAATTGCTGGGAACGTATTTGGTTCTTGGATCTTCTGCCAAGACTTACTACTGCAGTTTCCCTCCAAAGTGTTGTTAACGACGTGATGATTATGTGGGTACTTTCCTGTCAAGATACTGGCTCTGCTCGGGCAGCAAAGAGCACTTGGCACATACTACAAAGTGAACAGAAGCAAAAAACCCAGTTACACAAGAAAAATGGATTTCTCCTCATTTCTAAAGAGAGTAAAGAAAGCTGCTTAATACTCTAACTTTGAATTTCTAGTTTCCCATGGAATAGTTTTTTGGGTTTTTTTTTTTTGGTAACACATGACACACTTCAGAGCTACTTTAAATCACATAGTGGAGACCGTAAACAAACCAAGAGAACAGATTTCTTTTTCAGCTGGTTTCTTTCTGCAGAGTAAGTTATTCCAATCTCATCTGCCAAAGAATATTTACATGGTAGGAACTAGGTCTTTTTTTTTTTTTTTTTTTTTTTTTTTAAGAAGGCTTCATGCCCAGCCTGGAGCCCAAAGTGAAGGTTGAATTCAGGACCCTGAGATCAAGACCTGAGCAGAGATCAAAAGTTGGACGCTTAACCAACTAGGCCACCCAGGAACCCCTAGGAGCTAGATCTTAACCAAAAATAAAGACTACTACTTGAATCTTACGTAGCTGAGAGGCACAGGTGCATTTTCAGGATAATCTGTAGCTTTATATATTTCCTATATCAATACACTGGACAGAGATTATTTTTTCTACTCTAATGATATTTCTATTAGCTACTATCATCAATAAACTTAGCCCATTTTACCTATTATTTGTGTATATCTTAGTACACATCACCAAGCCACTTTACAGAGAATAATACTAGTTTCTACCCGCACCAGCAGGGAAGGAATGCTCATTCAAGTACACCCTTGCCAAAATTATGTATTATCCCTCATTAAATACTTGGCATTTCTTTGGGCTTTCAAATTGGATTTGGCATTTTTAAATACTGGTGAGCATGAACATTCTCCACATGCATACTGACCAACTGTGTTTATGTAAATGACTTGTTCATGTGCTTTGTACATTTTTTTGGTACATTTTTTTCCTGGGGCATCAGCTTCTTATTACATAAAATCTGAGTTAAGGAAGGATTCCGTCATGTTACAAATATTTGCCATTTATTACTTTTGCTTTTTCAATTTTGTCAGATTATTTGACTTCTGTAATTTTTACATTGGGAAGACTTTTAATCCTTTTGCTTTTTTGTCTGCTGACCTATTTTTTGGTCGATATCACACTGTTTACTGTATCTTCATATTACATTTTGTTATCTGGGAGGGCAATTTCCTCCTTTAAGAAATTACCTTGATTGTTCTAACCTATTTATCATTCCAGATAAATTTAGAATCACTTTATTCAGCCTGAAAAAAATCTTGTTGGGATTTTGATTAGAATAAACTAATGTTGGGTCTTCCTGCTGAAGATGATGGGTGTGTCTACAAATTAAGTATTTTTATTAAGTAGTTTTATTACATTACAAATGAAGTTCTGTAACCTTATTTATAAACATAGGTCTTAACCATTACTGACCAGCAGCTATACCTAGAGTCTGCATTTTCCTGCTGTATGAATGGGCTCTCTTCTCTCTCCTCCCCAGTACTTCTCTAACTGGTTATATAGGAGAAGATTATTTTTATTTTTTCATTTCTATTTTACTAAACTCTATTAATTTAAAAAGTTTTCGATCAGCTCTACATTCTTTGGGTAGAAAATACAAAGAAGTGGAAATAATAATTAGGTCTTTTTCCAATATTCCAGTTAATTCTGCAGGACTCATGCCAATCACGACAATTCAGAACAGCATTAAGTGACAAGTATTAGGCCCTTGTCTCATCTCTAACAGCATTGGCCTGAGTCTTGCACCTTAACTATAAGGTGTGCTATTTGTCTGAAATACTCATCATAATAAGGATGCATTCTTCTAACAGTTCAGTAAATTATCAGGAAAGGATGCTAAAATTTCAAAGGGTTTCAAGCATCTATTAAGATGAACATTACCTTTTTCGTCTTTCAACTACTGATCTTGTTGGTGGACAATATAACAACCACTATTACATAGTATTTACTGCAAGTCAGCACAGTCAGGTGCTGATATAAGTGCTTGCTTTACTTTAAATATATTCATTTAATATCACAAAACCCTGAGACAGATTTTAGGACACCCAGTTACAAATGGGAAACTAGAGAGGTTAATAACTTGCCCAACGTCAAACAGTTAGAAAAGAGGCAGAGAGAGCATTCAAAACTAGGTGATCCAGCTCCAGAATCTGTGCTCTTAAGCACAACACTGTGTTGCTGTTTAATGATTTCCTGATAAACTAGGCTACTACTTACTTGGTTATGTGCATTGTTCCTGAATTTGATTTGTTAGTATTTTATTATGGATCTTTGCAACTCTTTGCATCTCCTTCCTTCCCTCATCTGGGCTCCACACCAGGCCTGAACTCCTAACCCTGAGATAGACACCTGAGCTGAGACCAACAGTCAGATGCTTAATTCACTGAGCCACCCAGGCACCCCTGCATCTATGTTTATATAGACATAGCTATTTATACCTCATACATGCACATATATGTGTATATACACACACGAGATACTGGTTTTGTTTGGTTGCTATTATCTTTCTCAGGCTGACTGTCAGGGTTAATAGGGCTTTGTAAAGCGGCCGGCAAGTGTTGATCACAAAGCAATTTACATAGCATAAATGTTACTTGATTCTTACAATCCATTTTCAAACCTCAAACAGTAAGGCTTTAAAAAAATATTCTCTAGTTCTGAGCTATAAATCAAACTGGCTTAGAAAATACCTACAATTAAGGTTCAAATTGTAAAAAGTAATATTTCAATTAAAAGCATTTAAATCACATTAAATAAAGTCCTTCCTTTAGATCAGGCATTTAACTAGGGCTCCCCAAAAGAGCATGCTTCTTCTTAGAACATCAACAGCAAGTCTCACAAAATTAAGTTAGCTTTAAAACTTACAGCACTGGAGAAAGTCATCCCCATTTCTCCAATGAGAGCCTTGGTTTTCTTTAGTGGTGTCTGTGAAGTAAATAATCATCTGTTAAACCATTTCCTCCAATTAAAAAAAAAAACACACACACAGACCAAAACTCATGTTTTTTGCATCTTACTCGCAATGATCAGCTCCATTTGACACTAAGAAACCGCCAAAAGAGTTCTGTTTCTGGAGATGAACCAAACAGGTTTGGTTACAGTCAGTTATATCCCATGCAAAAGAGCAGTGGGGTCACAATGCCTGCAGGAAGGGAAAGTTCACAGCTGATAGCATTATTCTAGCAATGCTGATTTCAATGTAATGAAATTTTGGTGCTCTCTTGTCACCAGCCCTCTCACAAGACAGATAGGGCAGATCTCCACTAATTCATCTTTTAGGAGCAAGATGTGGGCTAAGAGATGAAAGGAGCCTTCCACTCTTTAAAGCAGGGAGGTTTTAGGTTCCGAGAGCCAGCTAAGGTCCCGAAGCCCAGAAAAGGACTCAAATATCATCAGTGATGGAGTCCAAATGCATCCTTTTCAATCACAAGCTCAAAACCCCATGCACTAGGCCAATCACGACCTCAGGTAAGGACTTGAACCAGGTGGCAAGTAGTACAGACAATAATCTCAAATCCTAGAGTAAGGATAAAAGTATGAAGAAGATCATTCAAATACAAATAAAAGGAAGACTACCAATCTTTATTTAGATTCCAGACAACAAAAAAGGACCACTAAAGAGAGTCTAATTTTAGTTGTATTTTATGAATCAGTTCATGATGATTTTGAAGTACCTTTGAAATCTGAGACCATATTCAGTATAGTTTTAAATATACCTTATTGTGCAGTAATTCCTTAAAGATCACCTAAATATGTGATTATGTTAACAAGGGTCTTATTTATAATACTGTATAAACGACTCTCCCCCACTGTTTTATATAGATAGTAAAAAACCTAAAGAACCCATAAGCTCAAAAGGATGAGAATTCTAACTTATTTAAGAAGACCTTTCGTAAGTGCATGAATAGCTGAAGAATAGGTTTCCAAGGACATGCTACAGATCTGTAAGTCTTCGTTAACCTTCAGAAGCAATGTCGCCAACTGAGATCCTCCAGAAAACATCACTGGTTGCTACTTTCAGGTGAAGAATATTGGGCTGAATTAAACACTGGTTTGACAAGAAATCTGAGTTATGACAACAGAGGGAGGGGAAATGAGAATACAAAGTATAAATGGGGAAAAGAACATTGTGAGTTGATTATATGGGACTTAATCCTCAAACTGTTGAATAAATATGCAACACTACTGAAGAATATCTCATTATTTTTTATTTTTATTTTTTGAAGATTTTACTTCACAGAGAGACACAGCGAGAGAAGGAACACAAGCAGGGGGAGTAGGAGAGGGAGAAATAGGGAGCCCGATGTGGGACTCGATCCCATGATCCTGGGACCATGACCTCAGCTGAAGGCAGACACTTAATGACTGAGCCACTCATGTGCCCCAGAATATCTGATTTATAGTAAGACTATAGTATGTGATTATAACCCATTTGTTAAATACTTAACGTGTGTCAGGCACTGATTGAACAAAAGGATGAACAAAAGACAGAAAGTCCTTGATCTCATGACCTCTGTATTCTTGGGGACTTAACCAACAGGTAAACAATCATTTCAGGCAGTGAAAAGTGCTACGAACACAATAAACCAGGATGATGTCCTTTAACTGGTGGGAGGAAAGGCGGAAACAACTTTAGTTGGGTGGTCAGGAGAGGCCTCTTTCAGGAAGTAACTCGGGTACTCAGAGTCACATGATGAGGCCAGCCATGCTAAGATCCAGGAAAAGGTGCTGGCCTGATTCAGGCTAAGTGAATAGCAAAGACAAGGACTGCCAGAGAAGACGCACATGTGAGGAACAGAAAAAAGGCACATGCGGTGGAAGTAGCACAGCAAGTAGACTGTGGGGTAAGACAAGGTCAAAGTGTTAGGCAGGAGCCAGCAGATGATGCACAGAGATTTTAGTGTCAATAAGAATTTGTATTAATGACTGTAATTTTTATGCTAACACCAGTACTGTGATAACCATAATGTCTGCTAAATCAAACAAATCCTAAACAAGAACCACACTGTACTGAAAATGTCTGTGTCTATGCTAATCTGAATGCTAAAATGGATCCTTAAGATATCAGCAAAGAGAGTTACAAGGTTGGTCAGGTCAAGATTGTACAACACTGCTTAAGGAGCAGTCAATCTGATACCTGGATATGGGTAAATGCGTTACTTTACTCATCCAAAGCAAATCCCTTCCATAAAAATCCTAAGGAGTCATTTACTTTTTTGGCTCCATGAACAGCTGCTCTGAAATAAAATTTTAACATTTCTAATAATCTTTGTTTTCAGCAAAGACATGATGTGTTCGTCCTCTACATTTCATCATGGCTCCTTCCCTTATTTCCTTGAAATTTTGACCAAATGTCACTTTTTCCAGGGTGAATGATTTTAGAAAGAGCGACCAGTGAAGAAGAGTGTATCCATCCCACCATGACATTCAAGTAAAATAAAAAAATAGGAACTATTCCCTAAGCAAAAACCAGAGTCCCACAGATGATACCTGCAACAAATACAGGGAAATGTTCAAGATGATCATAAAAGACTATTTCAAAGATGACTGAAAGATTCTACATGAAACACTACATGAAGCACTAGAATCCTTCTACCTGAGCTGGTCTGGTGGATTGGACTGCGGTTTATTTTGCCAACGATGGCAGCAATTCATAATCCTTTTTGAGCCAGAGACCTTATTCTCCACGAAATTGAAGATAAAATACAGAGTATTACGTATAAATTAAGGACTTCCATCATCCCCCTGGTGTTCCTAAGTATCGTCTTAAGAATCTCTGATCTGAAGTGTAAGTGAGTAGCTGATGTGGGTATGTGGAATGACATCTGTTAAGCCAGTATTCTAGAATATGAGAAAAATGGGGCTTCAAGATCATAAGACACCAGGCTGTGCTCCTTATTAGCTACATGAACTTCGGCCAAGTTACTTAACACCCTCTAAGTATTAGTTTCCTCTCATTTAAGGGAAGGACAGTATGTACAGCAGAGGACTTTATGACTGAAACACAAGTATAAAATACTCCACACTCTTACTGCTCCAAGTAGGTTTTCAAATGCTGTTACTGTCTTAGTGATTTCCCTTCAAGTCCTGATGACAACTAGTGGTAGAATACCCTGGAAAAGGATACAAGAGAAGCCAGAATACCCCAGAGAGTTGAGAGCATTAAATTTGACTTGTTCCCCACTCAATTTTGCCTCTTTAGTATAAACACCTATAATAAAGAATCTGATCCTGGTTTAAAGAAGCAAATACAACATGCTAAGGAGAAGATACCTCAAAGCTATACAGACCACATCTGTGTTCTGTGAAAATTAAGAAACTCAATTCTGAACACCTTATATTTCAGTGATAAATTTTTGTTTTCACCAGAGATGTAAAAGCTTGACCTTTTAATTGTCTTAGTCACTAAGCTATTACTAATTTTTGATAGAGATGGCTTGCCTTTTCTAGACAAAGCACTTTTCAAGGACGCACACACACAACGTTTTTTTGAAGGAATTTTGTGAGGAGGGTCAGTGGAGTGGTGGGAATGGAAAAAACAAAGTAAATTCCAGGAGGGCAATTAAGTCAAGACTCTTCAATGTCAATGTGGTGGAGTAGAAACTAAAAGGCAATGAGGCATATGTGGCACGAAGTGTAAATGCAAGCACCTTAAACATAAACTGGAAAAGTTTCTCAGCACTGTGAACACAGTCCTGAGTAAGAAATACATTTTCATTCATAATCCAGAAATATATATATGGATATGTGTACCTTTATCATATATACCCACATGTATCACACCAACATTTTCTATTCTACTTTATTTCACAGGAAAGTAAAAATCTGGTAGCTACTCACTAAACTGATTTCACAACTCACTTATGGGTTGAAATCGGCAGTCTGAAGAACACTGAGGTAGGGTGTTCCCAGACAGTGTAAGTTAGGAACCTCTTGGGTGAAGTATTTTCATAGTCTCAGCACTTAGCTGAAAACAAAGAGAGAACTGAAACGAAGAAATAAAGGACATCTATATTTTCTTAAAGATAAGAAAAATGCCATAACCAGGATCAGAGCACTCATCAGAATTTTGATCTGCTTCAACTACACAAGTGCCTTGGGAAAGCCACTTTCTGGGGCCTCCAAGAGTAGGGGGTTGGGTAATGCTCCTGAAAGTCATAAATTCCAGAACTCTAAGATAAAGAAGCAAAATTCACTCTGGGAAACAATGAAGTCTCATGACAAAACACATTTAAAATGGAACATGGACAATAGTAGCGAATGTATCAGCCAGGTGTTCAATTAAGCTAATTGAATTCTCTCGATTTTTGTGAGGCAAAGCGCAGCCTGAAGAGTTTGACAACCTATCTACCAGATTAGTTCATCTCAGCACTTATTAAATATCGGGCACAGACATTGTACATGGAGACAAACACAGAGGTGGCCTAGGTCCTTTGAAGAGAGAGCTGGATTTGTCCTCAGATCCTCTAAGCCAAAAGAAAAACAAGGCTTGCGTGCTCTTTGCCAGCACCTGCTCCTCCTTGGTCCAGCCCATCCCTAACTGGCGTCCACCTGTTTATTTTGAGCTATAAACGCGAACTCCGCAGCACTAAGGTCCAGGCTCGAACCTCTGTGTGGTGCGTGAATGTGTGCCTACTCAAAAGAGACGCGGGGGAGAAAGGAAACAGAGTCCTGCGGCCCCTCAAACTTGCGTATGGGGTCAGGCGTGGCAAAAGCAAAACTATCCAGGGTCAGGCACCCAGCTCAGGGAATTGGGGGTGGGGATGGGGAAAGAGGACAAGAAACCTGGGGGTCAGCCGGGGAGGCCGAGGGGCGGGGCAGAAATAGAAGCGTTACCATGCCGCCGAGCACTTCGTCCTGGTCGTCGGTGAGGAGCAGCACCACATTGGGCCTCCGAGAGCCCGTCGCCACCCCAGAGACCCCCAGGCAGCTGCTCAGCAGCAGCAGCAGCGCCGGGCTGCAGGAAGGCAGGTGACGGGGGCTGTTCCGCCGCGGCCCACTTGGGGCCAGAGGCAGGAGCCACATGGTAGACAGGGTTCCGGGGGTGGCCCCGGGATCGAGTGGAGGGACGCGCAAGTGTCTGAAGACCAAAAGGCGAACGAATGGCAGAAGGAAAAGCGTTGCCGGGAAAGGCCGGGGGGCTGGGGTCAGGCGTTTTCTCCCCTAGCACGATCACGTGAACCGGAGACAGGGGGCGGAGCACGCCTTGCGGTCACGTGAGGACCGACGGGGCGGGACTGCGAACGGAAAGGGAGGCAGGGCGGATCCGTGGGCCGGAAACCGGAAGTGGGCTCAAGGATCCAAGAACCGGTCGGCTTGGGAGGTTTGCACTTGCTTTAGTCTCAGGCTCGGGTTAGGTTCTCCAGCGATGTGTATGTGAACGCTTGGTGCGAGGGTTGAAATGGAGAGAAGATGAAATGAACGAGGGAATCAGCTCACAGTAAGCGGTTAAGAGAAGGGAGGAGAGTGCTTACCCGATAGTACGATCAGCTGGTGGGCGAAGTCTGGTCTCTGTCGTATTTTATTCTCGAGTCAGCAGCCACTTACGAGAGCCCTTATGTTTAATCATTTCTCAGTTTCTCTACAGCTCACCTGTTACACTCGAAGCTGGATTCTGGCTCAGCTTTCTTGACTCCAAGCCTCAGCTGATAACGTGTTTTCAAACGATTTAGGGATATCCTGACAGCCTAATACTACTTGGTGAATTTTCGAAAGCCCTCTTAGAAGGTGTTGGAGGATATGCACATTGAACAAAACAAAACCCCTGAAACATGGTTACCCAACCACATTAAGTAATCTTTAGGGGGAAACATTCCATGTACTAAGGCTCCAAATATTTCTGTGATACAGAAATACAGGTACAGCTCTACCTCAACCATCTGCTAAAGTCTATGAAAACAGAATTATCCCTGGCAAGGTGAAGGGTCAAGCTTTATTCCCAACTTAGAGTAACAGCCTATACCTCCTGGCTCCTAACAAAGTGTATTTTCTCTAAGCGAGACCATCTGGCTTGAAAAGTGTTTTAAAACTCATGAAAGCACTATAATGAGTTAAAAATAATTGTGGGAGTACTTTGAAGTGTCATATATACAACTGTAAGTCTTATGCAAAAGGAAGTGTTAACTTTCTGAAAAAAAAAAAGTGTTAACTTTTTGGGAAAAAAAAGGCAAGAGAACCTTTACAAAATGAAGTAAAGTTCCACTGTAAGAAAAATTATTCTGGGAATCTGATCAGAGTCGTTCCCAGCTGGTCAAGGTACTGGGTTACAGCCTCAAACTATGCTCATTTTGCAAACTGGTGTAATAATCCCTAGGAAACCAAGACTTCCAGGAGACTTCTGGCACAAAGAAGAACCTGCATTGATGCCCCAAATTGTAGGATTATATCACTGGTCTTGGTTCAAGGCTACTTTATGAACTATCTGATGGCAGAGATTGTATAATTAAGAGCCAGCTTTATTCCAGATGCTAGACTAATGCTGAGGAGACACTCTTCCTTTTTCATGGAACTTGTAGTCTAGTTGCAGAAAGATATACAATCTAATAATCACAGCAGTGTATAATTACAAATAAGGAGACATGCTATGAAGGAAAAGTAAAGAGAGAAATGAACATTTTAAGGAGGTGGGGGGCTGACCTAATTTTTTAAAAAAGACTATTTATTTGACAGAGAGAGAGATCATAAGTAGGCAGAGAGGCAGGCAGAGAGAGAGGTGGAAGCAGGCTCCCTGCTGAGCAGAGAGCCCAATGCAGGGCTCTATCCCAGGGCCCTGAGATCATGACCTGCGCCATCCAGGCATGGGGCAATTTAAGGATTCGCTGAGGAAATAAATTTTCTGTGGCCATGAGGAATTTAAATAGGAGATAATTTGTTAATGGGATAGTGGGTTGGTAGAATGTCTCCTAGGCACAGGGTACAGCATGTGCGAGGATGTTGAGGTAGTGCAAAGAACTAAAAGATGCCAGTGTAGCTGGAGCAGAGGAAGAGAAGGAGATAGAGAGGTAGACAGGGCCCAGATTATATGTTAAGGATTTTGGTCTTCGTCATAAGGCTAATGTCACTTTAAGAGTAGGGGAGAGGGGTGCCTGGGTGGCTCAGTGGGTTAAAGCCTCTGCCTTCGGCTCAGGTCATGATCCCAGGGTCCTGGGATCGAGCCCCACATCGGGCTCTCTGCTCAGCAGGGAGCCTGCTTCCTCCTCTCTCTACCTGCTTCTCTGCCTACTTGTGATCTCTGTCAAATAAATAAATAAATAAAATCTTTAAAAAAAAAAGTAGGGGAGAAAAAATCATACATGAATTTGTATAAGGTCCTTTATGCTGTGTTATGGTGTACAGATTAGAAGAGGACAAGAATGGATGATAAGAGAACAAATCCAGATTTTGTGGGGTGTGAAGCTTATATGTATGCAATTTGGTAAGGGTGGCTCCTTAAGAAAAAGAGTGACAATATAAATATAAAATTAGGTGCAAAAGTGAATATTTATTTAGAGTAAGAAAAGAAATAACCATATTACAGATTTTTTAAAAGTTGAAAAATATTACAAATTGAAATGCAAAATTTTAAAATACAGTATTTTTTATTAATGAACTACAGACACACTTCTCCATGCTCCTCCCACCACCCCGCATTTAGCCTTTTCTCTAGCATAGTTGATCAATTCATTTTTTTATTATTGATAGTTAAGAAATTGTTTTTCATCCTCAGTTCATTATTGGTTATACACACACACACACACACACACACACACACACATACTTACTGTAATCATGTATTATGAGTTTATATCCTCTGCACTGATGTCAACTTGAGGTCAAGTCAGAAAGAAATTTAATATTTTTAATGAGTTTATATGATTCACTTTCTTCACAAATTATCAAACAATTCAAGAGCCTATTACTTTCATTTTCAATTTATCTCTTCTACAATTACTGTTTTCATTATCATCTGAAAAAAGTGATTACTATTTACTTTTCAATGTCAGGACAATTTCTTTTGATTTTCTCACCTTTATCACTTTGATTTCATATTCATGAATTTTTTACCTCAATTTTATCTCGATGCTTTTTTTTTTTTTAAAGATTTTATTTATTTATTTGACACAGAGAGAGATCACAAGTAGGCAGAGAGGCAGGCAGAGAGAGAGAGGGGGAAGCCGGCTCCCTGCTGAGCAGAGAGCCCGATGCAGGCCTCAATCCCAGGACCCTGAGATCATGACCTGAGCCGAAGGCAGAGGCTTAACCCACTGAGCCACTGAGGCACCCCATCTCAATGCTTTAATAAAATAAATTTAAAAACAACATAAGAAGGTGCCTGCCATGTATGTCCACATCAGGAGTCTAAAATTTATCAGTTGGAATGTTCCAAAGTGTCTTTCTAAATGACAGTTAAAATGTTATGTTTGGGTTTTATCAACTGTTAAATAAGTTTGTATTTTTTTAAAGATTTTATTTATTTATTTGACAGAGAGATCACAAGTAGGCAGAGAGGCAGGCAGAGAGAGAGAGGGAAGCAAGCTCCCTGCTGAGCAGAGAGCCCGATGTGGGGCTCGATCCCAGGATTCTGAGATTATGACCTGAGTGAAAGGCAGAGGCTTTAACCCACTGAGCCACCCAGGCGCCCAAGTTTGTATTTTTTTAAAAAGACTTTATTTATTTATATGAGAGAGTGGGGAGGAGGGAGCAGAAGGAGAGAATCTTCAGGTAGACTCCCTGCTGAGTGTGGAGCCCAGTACCCGGCTTGCTCTCACGACCCTGAGATCATGACCTAAGCCAGAACCAAGAGTCAAATGCTTAACTGATTGAACCACCCAGGTGCCCCTGCAAAGTTGTTTTTAAAGAGCATGTACCCCTTTGCTCTGTTGTGCTGACATATGACTGTAAATGTCATTCAACAGCAGATCAAAATAGCTCAAATATTTCTTCACCTTGTTGAAAAAAGTCAGATAAAAAAGTTAAAAATTGCTGTAGAGTTTCCTGTTAGAGGAGTAGTGCACAGTAATCAACAACTGATCAGTTTGTCACATCCAGAATAGAATGTGTAGTGTTATTGGTGTCTGGTTAGATATTTGATTTACCACTTTTGAAAACATTTTTCCATGAGGGGTTCCTGGGTGGCTCAGTTGGTTAAGCATCAGACTTCAGCTCAGGTTATGGTCTCAGGGTCCTGGGATGGAGCTATGAGTTGGGATCCATGCTCACTGGGGAGTGTGCTTGTCCCTCTCCCTCTGCCCCATCCCCCAGCTTGTGCTTTCACACTCTCTCTCAGATGAATACATAAGATCTTAAAAAAGAATGTAAAAAAATATAGTTTAAAAAAAAAAAAACCCAAAAAACAAAAACCCCAGAACATTTTCCCGTCAGGATGTCTGGCTGGCTTAGTCGCTAGAGCATGCATCTCTTGGTCTTAGGGTTGTGAATTTGAACCGCATATTGGGTGTGCAGATTGCTTAAAAGTAAAACCTTTTAAAAAACTTTTTAAAAAAATTTTCCCATCATTAATTTTTCATGAATTGTTTTTGTAACATAAGTCACTTTTAAAAATTTTATAATTTTTTTTCCTACACCTTAAGCAAAAGTAGGTTAAACCCAGCTATTAGTTGAAAAATTCCCATGAAATTTCCATTATTGGTACAACACTGCTTCTTATCATGAACTCTGAAGTAAAAATATCTTTAACTTAAATATTTAATAACCTTGACCTCCATCTTTGGCCATGATGGAGTAATAGGGCCAGACTAATCTTTTTATTAGAAACAATCAGAAAACAGGCCAAAATATGTTTCACACAATGGACAACAGTCAGTGTAAGACTATGATCCGTGTGTAAAAAGGAAAGAATTTCCCCCACTTTTAGCCTGTGGGCACATTCTGAACCAGGGAGCCAGGAAGAGGATCCTATGCAGAGCAAAGATGAGTTTAGGGGAGAGAGATTAAATCTGGAGGAGGATGAGGTAGCTGGCAGTGGTGAAGCAAAGTTCCAAAGAGGAGGAAAAGCTCCATAAATCTGCAGATAATCCTTTTGAGATTTGGTGGAACACTAAGATGTCCATGTGTAGGGTGAAGCCGTCATACATAACGTAAAGCAATGAATAACCAAGGAGATGTAAGAATTCTCAGAGGATATATTTGAGATCCAACCAGCCAGAAGAGAGTCTTCTTTGATCATCAGGGGTATTTAATAGAGAACCCAAGAAGGTCATACCTTAGTAGTAGGGCTAAATTATCATGAGTGAAAAGTATTGTATACCTGTAATGACAAAGTTTATTTATTTATGTTTTAAAGATTTATTTATTTATTATTTGAGAGAGAGTGTGGGGTGGGGGACAGAGGGGCAAAGAGAGAAAAATCTCAAGCAGACCCCCCACTGAGCACAGAGCCTGATGAGGGGCTTGATCTGAACTGAAATTAAGAGTCAGACACAACCGACTGAGCCACCCAGGCGCCCCTACAATAACAAAGTTTAAATATAAGTCTCAAAATATCAAGCTGATCTGCAAGAACTTCAACTTGCTGGTGAGAACAAGGACCCACACTAGAAAATCTGGATGCTCAACAATATGAAATTCACAGGATTACACAGGAAATCAAATAAGAAAATGTGATCTGTAACCAGGGAAAAATCAGTCAATGGAAACATAATAAAAGACACAGATAAAGGAATTAACAGGTCAGGGATTTTAAAACACCTCTTATATATGTATATGTCATAGTCTAAACAGATTTAGACTGGGCATCCTGCCGAATAGCATATCCATCCATCCACTGCATGGATGACATATTGATCAGGCAGGATGAACGAGGGGCAGCTAACCTACTGCGATCTTTTGATATGACATGTGCTCTGGAGAGTGGGATATAGGCCCTAAGAAATTCAGGCACTTGCACTTCAGTGAAGTACAGCAGGGCCCACAGGGTCTGCTCCAGTGAGCGTCCAGAGTAAAAGCAAATTGCTGCATCTTGCTTTTCTTGTTACAAAGAAGCAAGCCCAGTGCTCATCTGACCTTTTGGATTCGGTGTGTAACTTACGCAACTTAGGAAGACTGCCAGCTTTGAGTGGGGCCTGGAGCAGGAAAGCATGCTAGAACAGACAGGGCCAGCTTTGGAATCTGTGGGGCCTAGTGTGAAATAAAAATGCAGGGGAAAAGTGCCACTAAAGGTGCTAAAGTATAAATCCTTTTAAAAATACTGTATTAGTAACAAAATGCAACGGGGATTATAGTGATACTGGAGTAGCACCATAATCTTGCAAACTACAATTAACATTTTTGGTAATTATATATCCACTTAACATTAATACTTTATTAATGTGATATCTTGACTGCTAATATGTTTTTTTTTTTCTGGCTGGCTTTCCTGCAGATTCATTTCTTAGGCCATCAAGATGTATACTTTTGGGGGCGCCTGGGTGGCTCAGTGGGTTAAGCCTCTGCCTTCGGCTCAGGTCATGATCCCAGGGTCCTGGGATCGAGCCCCACATCAGGCTCTCTGCTCAGCGGGGAGCCTGCTTCCTCCTCTCTCTCTCTCTCTGCCTGCCTCTCTGCCTGCTTGTGATCTCTGTCTGTCAAATAAATAAATAAAATCTTAAAAAAAAAAAAAGATGTATACTTTTGGCAGCTTCATTTGATACAATTAATAGTGATATATATGTATATATTTTCTTATGCTTTGTCCTCAGGTGTTTATTCTCAGGGTAAAGATGGTGAAGAGGAAAGTCTGAAATGGGCGTATTTACACTCTCCCATCCTGAGTCCCATAAGAGGAGGCAGGTGACTAGGCAGCTCAGGTACTTCCGGTCAGGGGCTTCGGCCAGGGTCCCAGGGCCCAGGGCCTGAAGCCCTTCCACAGGCTTGTGGAGAGAGGCCAGAAAGGTAGCCAGGAGCCCACTCTCCACTGAGTGCTGGCAAGTGGCTGGCTCTCTCTCCCCGAGGGCTTGGGCATAGACTGTCCATTACAGTGAGACTGCCCGACACTTGTACTCGGTCAAGAATGGGATACCTGGTTTCTGATCTTGGTAATGACCACCAGCAGCACTCACAACATTTGAGGGGTCTGGAATTTAATCTGCCTTGTGGGATGCACTAACATTCAGAGACCAGTGCTCCTCTGAGACACCATGGAAACCCAACCTACCCAAGAATGGTAAGATGAGATACCCCGGGCTTCCAGCAGCCCCAACAGGATCCTATTCTTAAAGTCCCAATCACCTTTACCTCAAGCTTGTAAGAAGGTTGCTAACTTTTGAACTACTTTGGTCATTTAAAAAACAGCCTATAACCCCATACTGTGTCCTTGAAGTCACTCAGATGACTTCTGGGAGGGGAGAACGGGGCTCCAGGCCTTCAATGACATCTGATTCCCACAGAGGAGGATCCAAGTTTATTAATCATTTTTAATTTTAAGGAGGATCTTTCTTCCAATGTAACTATCACTAGAGGTAGTAAGAGTATAGGCTTATAGGCTGTATAACAAAAGGATAAATTTTTAAAAAAGATTTTATTTTGAAACTAATATTATACAATATGTTAATTAAGTGGAATTTAAAAAAAAAGATTTATTTAACATACAGAGACAGCACAAGAGGGAACACAAGAGTGGGAGAGGGAGAAGCAGGCTTCCCGCTGAGCTGGGAGCCCAATGTGGGGCTCCATCCCAGAACCCCAGAATCACGACCTGAGCTGAAGGCAGACACCTAATAACTGAGCTACCTTGATGCCCCCCAAAGGGATAAATTTTTGATAGATTATTTCCAAATAGAAATTTTAGGATTTGTGGAACTGATCATTCTTGTGGAATAATTTTTCTAAAAATCTGTAAATCTTGGGGTACCTGTGTGGCTCAGTCTGTTGAGCGTCCGGCTCTTGATCTCATCTCAGGTCATGATCTCAGACTCCTGGGATTGAGCCCTGCTTTGGGCTCCCTGCTCAGCAGTGAGTCTGCTTTTCCTTCTCCCTCTGTAATCTATCTCACTCTCTTTCAAATAGATAAGTAAAATCTTTAAAAACATAAAATAAATACATGTAAATCTTCCTATGGATCAGTTTTATTTGGATATGAATTCAATTTTAAATGTAAATCATAAGTTACTGTAATTTTACAATTGTAACGTTATCACTGGTATAATAGTTTCATTGTGATGTTTCCTTTGGTATTTCCTGTAGCTTGTGGAGGGTGTGCAAGAAACCTCAAGTGGCTTCAGACTTTAATATAGTAATGGAAGGTGCCTGTATATTCATTCTATCACTGCATCTTCAGTTACAAGGAAAAATTAATTCAGTTGTTTTCATCATTAATAATTGGTTCATCTGGAGTTTCACATGAAAATGGTGTTATTTTCTATTTATAAGCTTGTGGATATTTGATCTGCCATATTGCAGAAGTTTTCTAAACTCTTTGGAGAATTCTAAACTCTAAATTCTAATAATTCAAATAATTCTCTGATTTGCTTTATTTCAGTGTTCATGTGTGTGCTTTTATCTTGTAATAATTTACTGACAAAGAGTATTGCCTGAAAGCCAGCAGTTCCCACTGTAGCTTTCAAAGATTTGTGCAAATATCACAAAGCTGGGATTTGGGGAGCAGATGGGGACCCCCCACAACAGGTCCCAGCACTGGCCTTGTGTAGAGCCCCTTTCTCTTCCTATTGCCACCACTGCTGCTTCTCCAGTGTTCTTTCTGCTGTTGCTGCTATCAGTCTGGGCTTTGGTCTTTTCCTGGCCACGGTGGGGCCCTGAGACTCCCTGACTTCCCTGAGGCATGAGCATGTGACAAATGCTTCGAGCATGACTCCTGCTTACTGTACTCCTTGTCCTGGTTTATCTCATCTGCTCATGCACATGTCCCATTGGACTTTATTTTTCAAAACACAAGTTCAAAGATAAAATTGTTAATAATTTCAAGTTGGTCACCACAAAGCACAAGCCAAGCATGGGGACCTTCTGAGAGTGAGGCTCTGTACAACTACAGGGTCCACATCTTGAAGTCCGTCCAGGTGCCAGGTCCCATCTGTGACACAAGTAACCCTCTTGCTTGGACCATAAACTCTGGCAGACCCAATGATATTCCAGGTGTCACTGATGAGGAAAGATGCGATGTGGAACAAGCCCCCATGGGAAAATTACAGTGCCAACCCTTAGGGTTTGGGAGCAGGGCCATGTTATCTACAGCAGGAATTACACATCTTTTGAAAAATGGCTTTGAGTGTACCGAGCCCTGATAGAGATGGAACTCTTGGCCATGAGACACCAAGTGACCATGCATCATGAGTTGGGTCCTCTTGGACCTACCAAGTCAGAGTTCATCAGGATCAGCAGTAATTTTACATGTGATGAACTGTTAAATTTGGAACCAAGCACAAATAAGATCAGAGGGCATAGGTAAGTGAAAAGGTAGCCCAAATTCCCATATCGCTCATCATGGTTACCGGGTACCAAAAGGAGGAGGAGAAGGCCCAAGCTTGGTATATGGGTAGAACAGCGTAGTATATTGGCACAGGGTAGAAATGGATGGTGTGTTGCATTACAGCTTCACTTAGGGCTGGCCTTGAATGACAGTGGTGAGGGAAAACCATCCTAACGGGCATGGCTTTGGTTGATGCACCTGACCATCCAGTTTGTGAGATAAGGTAAGTGGTCTGAGGTTGGCATATATATGTGTTCATTGGTAGTGGTGAATGGCCTTGGCTGGCCCTGTCATGGGAGTGGAAGGAAAATGACTGGAAGATTGGAGATAGGGAGGTCTGAGGTAGAGGCAAAAGGATGGATATACAGGAACAGGCACAAAGTGTGAAGAACGTGGTGTGACATATTTATGCTCACCAGAAAGCATTCACCGTGGAAGAGGCACTAAACAGATTAGACAAAATAGGTTAGTTGGTTTAGGTCTGCCACTCTGCCTGGATGCTGGTGTGGTAGGAACCTCACTCTCAAAGAATGTAATGTGTACAAGTGGGATATCAGAAGTTTGGCTCCCAGCTGATATGACTGAGCAACCACAATTTTTTACTATTACAAAGGAAGGGTGATATTCTGTCACTTTGAAATCTAGTGTCACAATAATTAAGTGTAGTCAGATCTCCAGAGTTCCTCTAAGCACTTAAATTTTATGGTTTAAATGTCATTCATCATTAATAGCCTTTGCTTATTGACCGTCTACTATGTATTACTATGTATTTCCTAAGGTCTCTTTAAGGCTTGTTTTTTAGAAGTACTAAAATCCCGTGTTTACCTGGCATCCCAACTTTTTGGATTGAAAAATACGAGTCCTCTTCATGTATAGTTATTAAACTGAGAACAGATTGTATTGCAGTCCAAGCATATAAATAAATTCTAATCAGCAAAAGTAAGGAGCAGAAATTAGCTTCCATGAGCAGAAGCTGAAACCTAGAAATGACCTTTTGAATTTCTCTTATGCTTGGGAATGAGTAATTCCTGAAGTATTAGAGTGAAAGGTTAAATAGATTTTAGAAATCAGCCATTCCAAGCATAATCAAAGCTTTCATTATAGCAGTTCAGTATTTATGTGTGTGTCTGAACATGCTGAAAAAAATTATCAAATTATCAAAAATGTTGAGAGTCTTGTTAAGGTAGTTTTTTGTTTTTAAGATTTTATTTATTTGAGAGAAGAAGAGAGAGAGCACGAAAAGGGGCAGGATCAGAGGGAGGAGCAGACTCGCTGCTGAGTGGGGAGCCCAATGCCGGACTTAATCCCGGGACTCCAGGATCATGACCTGAACGGAAGGCAGATGCTTAACAGACTGAGTCACTCCGGCATCCAAGGTAGTTTTTGTTTTTGTTTTTAACAAGCTTTATTTTTTGGTTAGGTAGTTTTATTTATTTATTTATTTATTTATTTATTTATAAAGATTTTATGTGTTGATTCTTCAGGGGGAGAGGGAGAGAGAGAGCACAAGCAGGGAGAGAAAAAAGCAGGCTCCCTGCTGAGCAAGGAGCCCAATGTGAAACTCAATCCCAGGAGGCTGGGATCATGACCTGAGCTTAAGGCAGTTGTTTAAGGGACTGAGCCACTCAGGCGTCTCTTGTTAGGTAGATTTAAATGATGGGTATCAGAAGGTTATTGACAAGACCCTGATACCTGTTTGGAAATAATTTAAATGTTCATAGCCTATAGCTTGTGCACTAGAGTCACATAAATTGCATCCTGTAGGTTTTAGTAAGTTGCACTCAGAGATAGATGCTTCTTAGCTCCTTGTAAATATAATGCACCACTAGACCTTGTACCTGGTGTAAAATAATGAGTATAATTATTTAAATATTAAAACTAAGGTTCTAAACAAGTTGGAATACTGATTACTATCAGTAGCATAATTGGCCATAGTAAATTTAATTTTAACTATTATCTTTAGTCATGATCAGTTTGAAATCATATTCTGTGAGACCAGTAGTTCTCTCTTATACCCAATTAATTGGCTTCAGTGGTTCAGGGAACTCATCTTGGGCCCTCCAGTCACCAAACAGCTGTAATGTAAGATCCAAAAATGGGCTGCTCTTTGCTAAGAGTACGTCTAAGATTCTTTTTAATGAGAATCTCTTTTCATAGGAAAGCAGGTAGTTGGTTGGTCTTTTGTCTAGTTTGATGGGCTCACATCAGTGAACAAAATAGACAAAAATTCCTGCCTTACCGAGCTTACATTTTACTGGCAGAAGGCAGATAATAAATCAGTAGATGATATAGTATATTGGAGGGTGGACTATATTACGGAAAATAAGAAAACAGTGAGGGGCAATAAGGGAGGGTGGGAAGCCACAGTTTCAAATAAGGTGGTTAGACCCACTAAGAAGATGACGTTTAAGCAGAGACTTGACCCTGGTGAGGTAAGGTCATGTGCATACTGGGGGGATGATCATTCCAACATGTCCAAGGATCTTGAATCTGCTTTCCTTGTTATATTTTATTTTGCCAGTTTCTTCTTATGTGATTTGATACTGATGGGAAATTAGAAATAATTTTTCAAGTTCTAGTTAATTTAGAAATGCTGATTGTCAATGACCTATTGTGTTTACTGGTCTCTTTCACCATCCCTTTCAGTTCACTTTTAATTTCTTCATGCATATGTCCCAACAGAGATACCCAGCGTGAGGTGCTGAAAACTAGTAATCACATCTCTTACTGCATGGAGTTAGAGAAAGGGCTGGGAAGTCAAAATAAGAAGCAATCCAATTTCAGTGTTTCCCTTTATGCAAGTCCTGCTTGTTGCAAAGTTTGGCATGTGAAAGAAGGCTCCCAGGACTCTAGTCAATGCTGGAAACAGTAATTAAAAAAAAAAAGCTCAAAAGACAAAACAAAATAACTTCATTTTTTCTATTTCATAATTTCATACATTTTAAATTAAATGAATATAGTAGTAGTTAATATAGTTATGAAACCATAAAGCAATATTTCTAGAATAATTTCAAATTCTGGATGCCTAAGGAAAAAGTTACTAACAGTTTACTTTTCTTATAGTAACTCCAATTTCAAAAAGGGTCCTATTGTTCTCACTCTGTTTACAAGTATTGTGGTGGTAGTGCCAAGAGACTTCAGGTTTTTACCTGTAGGGTCAGGCTCTATTATGAAAGTGCCTTGAAAAATAAAAAGTGTGCTGAACAGACATAAAGCACCACCATTGTTCACTAGGGGCATTGTGGCTCTTTTTAGTAATATGGCAAATATTTAATAGTGCTAGGAGATAGACAAATACATATTCATCCATAAGGAATATGTATTTATCCATAATGAAAACCAGACACTTAAAGCTTTAAGAGAAGTTCACTTTATTCTTTGTGATGGGCAGTAATTCAGCCTCTCTGTGCCTCAGCTCTCTCATCTGAAAAGTGAGAATAAAATAGCACTTACCTTTGTAACTATGTATGGTGAGGGATGTTAACTGGGCTTGTCCTGGTGATCATCTGGAAATATACTGAACTACTGAAGTGTTATATTGTACACCTGAAATAAACTTAAAAAAAAAAGTTTTTATTTGAGAGCAAGTGAAAGAGTAAGAGAGAGAGAGAGAGAGCATGAATGGGGTTGGGCTTGGGTGGGGGGAGAGGGGCAGAGGCAGAGGGAGAAGCAGGCTCCCCACCGAACAGGGAGCCCAACTCGAGACTCGATTCCAGGGTCCTGGGATCCTGACCTGAGCTGAAGGCGGACGCCTAACAGAGTCATCCAGGTGTCCTGAAATTAGCTTTTTTTTTTTTTTTTTTTTTTTTTTTGTAAAGATTATTTGTTGGAGAGTGAGCACAAGCAGGGGGAGTGGCAGGCAGAGGGAGAAGCAGGCTCCCCACTGAGGAAGGAGCCACATCCCCGGCTCCATGACAGGACACTGGGATCATGACCTGAGCTGAAGGCAGACCCTTAACTGACTGAGCCACCCAGGCGCCCCTGAAGCTAACTTAATGTTACGTCAATTATACCTCAATAAAAAAAATACTATTTACCCACTTTATAGGGTTAACATGAGAACTAGGATACATTGTGCAAAGAACGAAGAACAGTTTCTGGCACACAAAAAGCGCTCAAAACTGAAAATTGTTTTTAAATGCACAAAAATACAGTGGAGGGGCATCTCAGAGTTGAGATCTAATATAAAGATACATCTTTCAGGATATCACAAAAACTTTTGACTTTACTGTCAGAATCAGCCATGTCAATTTATTGGTTTGGTCATCTCATGGATAGTTATTAAAACCCTCATTCTGTTAGGTCCCATGCCTGGGAATTAGTTGATCTTAATCTAGCACTTCACTTTTCACTGAAGGATAAAAGTTCACAGCGTTATTAAATCTCAAGTATATGCCAACTCTTCCAAAAAGTTATTGTCAGAAACTAAGAACGCCTTGAAGGCGCCCAGATCAGGTGGGGAGGTGGGAAGGGCTGGGTATTGTGTCCGGACTATGCCAAGAAGGGAGTTCCTGGCCTCGGCCGAGTGCGTGGTATTTAGAGCTCTCTGGGCCTGATTTCTAGCTGGTGGCTGAATCGGATGCAAGAGTTGCCTTCTTTTTGACTTGAATCAAGTGCTTAAAAGTGAAGGTGGCGGCGGCCAGAGCGCTCTACCCCCTCCAGCTAAAGGCTTCATCCTGGTGTGTTCTGGCCACATCCTCCTCCTTAACGCGGATCGGATAGCGCTCCCAGGCCAAGTGGGGCCTCACCTGCCGCAGGTGGCCCTAGGGAGTCCGGAGGCGTGGCCGCACCCCCACCCCGCCCCTCCGCTTCTCCAGGCCGGGAGCTGCAGGCCGCCGCTCGGGTCCCCGAAGCCGGGAGGTCTGGCGTCTCGGGGATTTGGGGCCCGCTGGCTTGGCGCCCGGCGGAGGGCACCCCAGGCGCCGAAGAGGCCGCGCCTCCTCCCGGAACTGGCCGGCGCTGCAGGGCGGGAGGAGCGGCAGGAGCCGGGCTATCGCACGCCGCGGGCCATGGAGGTCCTTCCCGCAGGCGGGGGCCGGATGGGGCGCCGGGAGCCGGGGGCAGGGCCGGAGGAAGCGGTTCCCGGAGTGCCCGGAGCCCCGTGCCTGCGAGGGGCGCGGTCGGCGGAGCGGCCTCGGGGCTCTCGGGACTCCTGGGGGGCGGAGGAGGACCCGGAGTCCGGCGAGTCGCCGGACGGCCGGACCAGCCGCACGGCGTCCCTGGTGAGCGGGCTGCTCACCGAGCTGTACAGCTGCGCGGAGGAGGAGGCGGTGGGCGCGGGCCGCGGGCCCGGGGGTCGCCAGCGGCGCCGCGACAGCCTGGACAGCTCAACGGAGGCTTCCGGCTCCGACGTGTTCCTGGGCGGCCGCGGCAGCGCCGGCGACTCGCGCGTGCTGCAGGAGCTGCAGGAGCGGCCGAGCCAGCGGCACCAGAGGCAGTACCTGCGGCAGAAAGGTGAGCGCCGGGGCCGGGGGCTTCGGTGGCTGCCCGGAGCCCCGCCCGCTGCGCCCGCGCGCGCCCCAGCGCTCACCTGGGCGCACCTGGCTGAGCCGCCGGGCGCTCAGTACGTTTTCGGCGTCTCCTCTGACCTGTCGCTTGTGCCCGCAGTGTCACCAGTTCAAAACCAAACTTGGTTCTTACTGCCCCCTCGACCCCCATTCCCTCTCGAGTTGTCCAGTGGAACCTTAGCGCCGGGTCACGTGTTCGTGGAGGCCCAAAGGGAGAGGCCGTCCACCTTCTGATTTCCCCAGAACAGCTGTGAGGACAGGTTTGGAGTTTCTGATACGTGTACCAGAAGTTACCTAGAGGGCGCCGGGAGAAGAGAGGCGACTCCTGCGGCTGATTTTTTCCCCCCTTCCCCTAATCCGCCCTACCCTGGCTACAGCACTAGGATAGTGTTTCACTAGTGAGGCGGAATAACTCGATAATGCAGTTTCTAAGCAGAGCGGATGAACTCCATTTCTGCCCGCCGGTCTGGTTTCAGGAAGCTCACTAGGCGAATCCCCCCCCGCCCGACACACACACCCCGGCCTTTCAGTGGAGGATTACTGGAGGGCCCCACTGTGTTGGCACTATCACAGGATTTGACTGCTGCTACCTTCAGTTGGAAAGGTCGACCTGAAAATGGCCTTCCTTTTGGTGGGTAGAGGCTAACTTGGTATTTCTTTTGTTATCAGACTCTGAGGCTCACGGCCTGATTGAGATTTCTTCCCCGTCAACTGTTCGCAATAGTTTGCCTTTCAGGCACTAACACAGTTATTACATTGTCTTTTTTATAGGTATACCAAGACTTCAATTTACAAAAGAAGTGGGATGTGGAAAACAGATGCTAAGTCACCATAACATTTCTTGAATTAATGTCCTTGTGCTAAATTACCAGAAGAGGGAGGAAGGAGAGGATACTGTAGAATGGCCTCCTGTCTCCTGATTGTAGTTGGGGGTGGGGGTGGGGAAGGGGCTGAGGAGGGAAACACACAGCAGAAAAGGAATAAACCTGTCTGCTTTCTCAAATCTATGTAAACAGTTTTCAACTTCCTCTTGGCTTCCTAGCTTTTTTTTTTTTTTTTTCCCTTTCCCATCTGATTGTTACAAATGGCTTCCACCTTCCTCCCTCTGCCTGGGACTTTGCCTGGAATAGTGCCATTTTATTTGATACAGTTATTTGGCTGTTCTGAGTGTCTGTTTATGCCAAGAGTTCCGCAGGGCAGTAGTTCTTTCAGAATCCAACAAAGTCAATTTTGAAGAATTATGATTTGGCTTTCTGTTTTTACAAGGCTGTTTGCTTTTCATTACTGAGCAAATTCTGGGGATTGGTAATTTCCTTTTGGAAGAGGAAATTTGGCAAACTAAATTATAAAGAAGAGGTAACAGTACAGCTTTGCATGTGGATTTCAAACCAGTGGCCACTCTATTAATTCATAAGACCTCTAAGAGTCTGTTTTTTTTCCCAAGTCTCCAGTCTTCTTGCCTGGTTAGTTGCCTGCTAACCTTTTCTTTCCTTTAAATCAACCCTATTAGGATGAACAAAAGTGCCATATTCTAATAGTCTTACACACAGACACCCATTTATTGATGAACATCATTAGAATACTAAGAATAAAGAGATGTGAAAACAGCTGCCTATATAAATAATTTTATAGTTTATTAGATTACTTGATATATTTTCAGGGTCAAAAAAGTATCCCTGCTAACATAGTGCTCAGTAAGAATTTCATATAATGCAAATAAATAACCGGTGTGTTAATTCACTCTTCTATTAGGAATTTTGCTGTAGCACTGATCTGAAGATATTTAACATGTGTGGGCCCTTCATTTACGTGAGATGTGATGATTTCTCAGGAAATCTTGGCTCTCTTCTCAGCATTTTTATAAAGGTGGTGAACTTTGAGGTCAGAATGCTGGAATTGATATCCTGCCACTGTTCATTACTAGATGTGTGACCTTGGACAAAATTTTTAACCTTTCTGTGTCTCATTTTCCTCACTTACAGTGGGGATAATAACAACACCTAACCTGAGAGAAGGCTGTGGTGATAATTACATAAGTTAATGTGTGTAAAATACTCAACAAATGTTAGATACTATTTTTATTATTATCGTATATACCAGAATGCCTTAGAGAGGAGGTCATCCACTGCTTGTCAGTTGGTGGTCTCACTTTTACTCATTTATTTAACACTCATTTAATAGCAAAAGTGTCTGATGTGGTAGAACATACAAAGATAAAGGAGAGCTTCCTTCTGTCTTCAGGATGCTTATGTATCAGCAGATATTGCTGTAGAAATTTCTAAACTCAACTCTGGAGATTTTTTCCTACTTTGGACAATACATGTAATTCAGAGAGTCACAGAGCTGTAAGTACCTTAAAAGTCACTAAAAATGATCATTTGTTGGAAGAAATGTATAATGTAAATTCAAGATGACGATATTCCTACCCTTTTTCTTTCTGGAAGGAAAAATTTTAAACATTGATAGAAAGACTATTTGTTCTATAGAAGAATCTAGGAACTTGGTCTAAGAGCCCTCTGGTCTCTTGTAGCTTGTTTCCATATTTAATTGTCCTTAGAGCACAAATAATATCATTTAACCTAAATATGCTCTTACTTCCCACTAGATACCACCATGTTAAACTCAAGGTAAGAGAAATAATCGGACTTTGTTCTCTTCCCTTATTCTTATTTTAGTGTTATTTATATTGATGTTTATAAAGACTATTCTCATTAGTCTCTCAGAATAATCTTGTATGCTAAGCAGAATGTGAGACTCAGAGCACCACCTTGCCTAAGATCAAAAAGGTAGTTGCTTGATCCAAAGGGAGTTCTTTTTAAGGTCAAATGCATTTTCCATGTTGTAGTCAAATAGGACTGCTGTTAAAGGACCCCCTTGTACTTCTGTTATACAGACCCCAAAGTTCATTTTCTTTGACCTCTAAAATTTATTTATTTTTACTTTTGAACACTTCCTTTGTTCTCTTCTGGTCCTCACTAGTTTCTCCAGATCCCTTTAAAAATGAATGGATCCAAATCTCACACAGGACCTTTAATGAGAGCCTAGCTAATGCCAAGCTGAGTGGAAGCTTCTTGCCTGACTGGCAGTCACACTGTAGTGACTAATGATAATATCAAGTGACAAACAGGGGCGTCTGGGTGGCTCAGTCAATTAAGTATCTGCCTTTGTCTCAGGTTCTGATCCCAGGGTCCTGGGATCTAGCCCTGTGTGGGAGCCTGCTTCTTCCTCTGTCCCCTACCGCCACTTGTGCTCTCTTTGTCTGTCTCTCTATCAAATAAATAATAAGTTCTTTAAAAGAAAAAGTGTGACAAACAGAACTCCCAATAGTAATGATTATTCATATAAAGATTGTCAATAGTTCTGATCCCCAAATCTTTTTTCACTTATGGAAAGACAGCTTTTGTTAATATTAATTTTATGAATGTGGAATTATCCTTACTTTATCCATTGAAAGGAAATATATTTTCTCTCATATTTGAAAAATTGCTGAGTTTCTAATATATTGTACCTAATAGTCAATCTATTGGAAGATTGTATATTTAAAACAAAACCAATATTGCTATATTCATCTACATTAAAAAAATGTGGTTCTATTATTTACTTTTTAACTGATGGTGTACAAACATGTAAGTGGTTTTAAAAACATTTGTTATCAGCTATTAGGTTTATCATTGATGTGACAGTCCCAAAAGGATTCTTTTTCTTTTTTTAAAGATTTTATTTATTTATTTGATAGACAGAGATGACAAGTAGGCAGAGAGGCAGGCAGAGAGAGAGGTGGAAGCAGGCTCCCTGCTGAGCAGAGAGCCCGATGTGGGGCTCAATTCCAGGACCCTGGGACCATGACCTGAGCTGAAAGCAGAGACTTTAACCCATTGAGCCACCCAGGCGCCAAAAGGATTCTTTTAAGCTTACCATCTGAGCTAAACTTTAATGATACAAAATATACAAGCCAATTTTCAGACAAGGAAAGGTAAACCAGAGCTAAATATGACAAGAGTCTTTGCTTACATGTTGCAAGTAGCCTCGGGGATAAAATTTACCTTAACAGTATTTTTGTTTCAGTGACAGGGCAGGAAATGAGTGAATGACTTATTTGATCAGAATATCTCAGCTGGGTGCACCTGCGTAGCTCAGTGGGTTAACTGTACGCTTTTGGCTCAGGCTGTGATCTCAGGGTGGTGAGATCGAGCCCCCTCATTGAGCTCCCTCCTAAGAGAGTGGGGGGAGTCTGCTTCTTCCTTGCCCTCTGCACCCCGCCGCCCTGTCCCACCCCGCCCCTGCTCCTGCTTTCTGTCTCTCTGTCTCAAATAAATAAAATCTTAAAAAAACAAATAAAAAGAATATCTCAGCTGAATACATACATGTAATCCTGGGTGAGAACCCAGAATTACCTGGTTTAAATGAGTGTTCTAGGTGTTTATCCTATGACTAGCATTACATTGGAATTTTTGTCCCTCTCTGGGTATTTATTTTCTTTTCCTTTTTCTCTTTCTTTTTCTTTACTGATAGACACTAATGAACTGAAGACAATCCTTCGAGAGCTAAAGTACAGAATTGGCATTCAGTCGGCAAAGTTACTTCGGCAGCTGAAGCAAAAAGACAGGCTTCTGCACAAAGTACAGAGAAACTGCGACATTGTGACTGCATGCTTGCAGGCTGTGTCCCAGAAGCGAAGTAAGTGCAGGAGTGCGGGTCAGCCCTTTGGCCACATGTGTCTGGAATGTTAGTGGAGTTGAGCAGTGGTCGTGTTTTTGGCTATATTGCAAAGCTTTAAATGGAAGCTTATAGCATCGCAACTAAGAACTATGAACAGTTCAGTTTCCTAGTTTTTCGGTTGTAATGTATAGTACATGTCCGATGTTACAAACTTAGTTTTACTATTTTCGGTTTGAAGTAGTACTTCATTTTGACAATAGTTTTTACCTGATGCTAAATAATGACTGAAATATTTATTTTTAGAATTGCATCAAATAGACACAACCTAAAAGACATATCTTTGTTCTCTTACACTTTGTCACTCTAATAAGTGCATTAAGAATTGACTTAAGAGAAGGACACTTTTGTAACAGGATCTTCCAACTTGCTTTGAAATCTAAAAAGGACAAAATATTTTAACAAATTAAATCTGTCTCATGGGTCACCCATTCATAGCTAAGAACTGCGTGGTTTGTTAATTGAGTTAAAAATGTTAGATCACTGATCCATGTTTAATACTAGATATAAGAGCTTGTGAATTAATTTTTTAAATTCTCCATGCAGTAGTTTTAGTTTTATTCTACTAACATGTCCTCATTTTTGTTTTTTTATTCTTTATTAACATGCAGCATGGCAGAACAGTGTGTTCAGGTATGGCAAATAGAGACACCAATGATGTTTTGATAAAAATGCGTGTGACAGCTTTTCAAGTGCACGTGTTAGTTAGTTGCCTTATTTTGTTCCTTTATCCTGTCACATTTTAGATATAAAGTGATACCTTTTACAGTTTTTTAAAATTCCAAATTAAGATGTGTCTGTTTTCATAAAGCAATTTTCAGGGCTTGATTAGTTTCAGATAATAAAATTAATGGCTTAAATGCCATTCTTCTGTTTATTATTAAAAGTAAATACATTTTCTTCCTCCTGTTTTATTATATCACTGTTTGTTATCCCCAAATTATTATTCTTCCTGTTTACTAAACAAGGTTTCAATCTAATGTATATCAAACAGGATGTTGCTTAATTATCATAATGATATAATGGTCCATAGAGAAAGCGGGGGAGAAGGTCATTGAATAGACTGGTTTTGAATAAGGTTTTCTCCAGAGCCAGGCACTTGTCTGACATAGCTAGAGAAGGAGAATACAGATGGAGATATACATACACATCTGCATGTATTTATATATGTCTATCTACAAAAAGTTAGCGTGTGTTGTAGGTATTGGATATTTTCCCATGGATTCTGATTCCCAAGTGTCGAGTAAAAATGCTATTATTTTGCCCTTTTATTTTGAAATACCTTGATTTTTCTTTATTTCAACTGTGTTTTCATCTACTCATTATTATCGTTTGTACCAGAAGTTAAAAGCACAAAGTGGTAAATGCATGGAGTTTGGGTGTATGGGAGAGTCTAAGGGCGCATGGGACCAGTGTAAGGAGATGGAGAGGAATGGCTGGCTGGCACAGGATCAGGGGTTGATAATTACCAGGGGCTGATAATCCTATAGGGTTTAAATTTACTTGACTGTTAAAAGGACTGGCATTTGTGTCTTTTCAGAAAAATGTGTTCACAAGCACCTAATTCAATTTGTGAATTTGTGAATGCAGCCTTCCTATGTATTTTAGGGTTTGTCTCTTTAAATCCAGCCACAGTTTTGTATTTCAGAGAAAATGGGATTAATGCCTCTTAACCTCGGGAATTCAATCATCACCTTGACAATAAGACTTAACTAAATGGAACAGAATTTTTTTTTTGTCGAATTAAGAAAGGACAATGGACCAGAATTATCATTCTCATCATACATTATATTATGACGTAGACATTACTCAGAATTTGACTGAATGGTTATTTCTCCAGAGGTTAGATGTTTTGGGACTCAATGTCTGATTCCCATAGATACATTTGCTTAGAATTCTAAAGAATTTAGATTTCACTATTTTACACTGAATAACTGAGCTTTCATTTTAGTAGTGATGGGCAGTGGTGCATTTAAATACAACATGCATGTTGACTTCTTGGTATTTCACATACAAAAGTCCAGATAACCCCCCTTCCCCCCACTCTATATGGATCCAGTGCTTATAATGCTTTCCATAAGTGATGCTCCCCCTTCTATAACATGTTGTAATATGAAACTAATCTTTGATATTAAAATGGGTCATTTCCTGTTGATACACCAAAGGGGATATAATGATTTCCTAAGTAAGTGTGGATAATGAACCAAAATGACTAGTCGTTTTTATTTTGAACACGTATGATATAACTGCCTGGATATTTTGGTTTCCTACACCAAGGTTTATGGTAGAATCCCTTTCTTTCTTTCTTTCTTTCTGTTTTTTTTTTTTTTTTTAAGATTTTATTTATTTATTTGAGAGAGAGAGAGAATGAGAGAGAGAGAGAGCATGAGAGGAGAGAGGTCAGTGGGAGAAGCAGACTCCCTGCCAAGCAGGGAGCCTGATGCGGGACCTGATCCCAGGACTCCAGGGTCATGACCTGAGCCGAAGGCAGTTGCTTTACCAACTGAGCCACCCAAGAGCCTCAGAATCCCTTTATTTCAAAACAGGGGTGGGAATAAGAAGAGCAGGATCACTGTATGCCTTGTAGAAACGCAAATTTTTCCCTATATTTAACTATCTAAGGATAACCATGGTATAACCAATTTAATATTAATAATAACATTAATGATAAGAATAGAAGCAGCTGTCACTATTCATTAAGTACACGGATGTGTACGTGGGAAAATCTACCTCATGGCTTCAAGACAGTGAGAAGAATGAGATAAATATTTGGCCAGGAGTTTGATTCTGATGTTAAGATTTTTAAGTGATTTGCTTTCCTTATGATTTAACTATTTTTTCCCCTGAAGGCAGAAGGAAGGTCCTCTTAATTATCAGCATTTCCTAATATTACAATTTTCTGCATCAGTGTAGTAAATATTTAAGTTATTTATGCTGGTTGAGTTTGTGAAATGGTGGTATAAGTCAAGTGATAAAATCTAGCTATCATTGGAAAACTGTGATAAGAGAAAAGGGTGGAAAAAATGTGAACATTCATGGAAGTATTGTCTTTAGTTTAACCTTGTCAATAAGTACAGGAATTTTAAACAGCTTACAGCCCTATTTGATTGGTGTATCTACCCTGACATCTTGATAAGAGTGTGATGAAGGCTTGCTCTCCTTCATAAATGCCTGGTGGTCACTGATACTTGTCAAAGAGTTAGTGGTCTTTGTTCTTTTCCTGTGGTTGTCTTCTCTAACACAGTACCTTGTTCTCTGTGGCAGGAGAAGGAATTTGTGTGGCTGAGTTTGGTGGCACTGACATTCAACATTTTCCTCAAAGAAACAATTCTCTGTTTTTAAAAACAAGTTATAAAAGTAAATGAACTTAAAAAAAAAAAAGTGAATGCACTCAACCAGCCATCTCACTCCTAGATAACTGAAGATATATGTCTCCATGAAAAGTTGTACATGAATGTTCATAGTAGCATTATTCATAATAGCCCCAAAGTGAAAACAACTCACATGCCTATCAGTGGATGAATGGGTTAACGAGAGTGGTATATCCATATAATGGAAGAGTCTTGTCATAAACAGGAATGAAGTACTGATTCATGTTACAAGATGGATGACCCTTGAATGCATTTTACTAAGTGAAAGAAGCAAGACACAGAAGTCTATGTTTTGTATGCTTCTATTTGGAATGTCCAGAGAGGTAGATTCATAGAAATAGGAAGTCGATTCCTGGTTGTCAGGGGCTGCTAATGTGATGGGTTTTTTACTGGGATGATGAGAATGTTCTGTAATTAGGTGATGGTGATGGTTAAACAACTTGTGACTATACTAGAAATTGCTAAATTATACAGTTTAAAAGGGTGAATTTTATGGTGTTTGAATTATATCTCAATACAAAGTGTTAAAACTATAATACACTATGGAAACTTTGGAAAATACAAAATTACAAAGAAGAAGAAAATCATTTTCTAAAGACAGTCTTTTCATAGTTCCAAATATTTACTCAAGTGTTTTTTTTTTTTTTAAGATGTATTTATTTTATTTTGAGAGAGAAAGAGAAAGAGAGGAAGCTTGAGCGGGAGGGATGGTTAGAAGGAAAGGGAGACAAGCAGACTTTCCGCTGATGTGGGGCTTGATCCCAGGACCATGAGATTGTGACCTGAGCCAAAATCAAGAGTTGGGTGCTTTAACTGCCTGAGCCATCCAGGTACCCTCAAGTTGGTTTTTTTTTTTTTTTTTAAATTATTTATTTATTTATTTATTTGACAGAGAGATCACAAGTAGGCAGAGAGGCAGGCAGAGAGAGGGGGGGAAGCAGGCTCCCTGCTGAGCAGAGAGCCCTATGCGGGACTCGATCCCAAGATCTCGAGATCATGACCTGAGCCAAAGGCAGTGGCTTAACCCACTGAGCCACCCAGGCGCCCCCTCAAGTTGTTTTTTATACAAAGTTTTTCCAAAGTCAGTGTATTAAATAACATTTTTGTATCCTTTTTTCTTTTTTTGCCATTGACATAAATTATCCATAAATACAATTTTCAATGATTAATGCACTGATGTTCAATCTATCGTGCTTTTTTTTGTTTGTTTGTTATAACATTATAATAGTGAAGAATCTTCTTTCAGTCATGAGTACAGAAACACAACTTAAACCGATTTAAGGGAAAAAGGAAATTGATTGGCTTACATAATTAAAATTCCAGGGTTGTGGCTTCGGGGGTAACTAAATCAGATACAGCTGCTCAAATAGTTTTTTTTTTTTTTTTTAATTTTATGTATTTATTTGACAGATCACAAGTAGGCAGAGAGGCAGGCAGAGAGAGAGGGGGAGGCAGGCAGAGAGAGAGGGGGAAGCAGGCTCCATGCTGAGCGGAGAGGCTGATGTGGGTCTCCATCCCAGGACCCTGGGATCATGACCTGAGCTGAAGGCAGAGGCTTTAACCCACTGAGCTACCCAGGTGTCCCTCAAATGTTTTTTTTTTTTTTTTTTTAAAGACTGATTTCATCTCTTAGCTGTGCTTTCCTGTACACTGGATAACAGCAAAATGGCCAATAGAGCAGCTTCTATTAAGCAACCTTATCTCAAAGAACAGATATCTTTATCCATAGTTCCAGAAAGTTCCATAATTCACTTTCCTTGACCTAGTTGGATCACCTGCTCACTAAAAATCAATAACTATTTATGTGTTGTAAGAAGGTGGTAAAGTGATAAGTGCTATAGGAAAACAAACAAACAAACAAACAAAAAAAACGGTAAAGACAGATTTGGAGTGGCTAACAATTGGTACTGGTGTTGCCAGTCTTTTAAATTTTAACTATTCTAGTGAGTGTTTGTTTAGTGGCTGTGTGATTTTTAGTTTCATTTTGCTGATTACTTATGTGGTTTAGCATCTCTTCATATATATATATTGACTATGTGTCTCTGAAGAAAAGGATTGTCAACTTTTTCTTATAGAGCTACAGGAGTTTTTAAAGTGTTCTAGATATGATGTTATTTATTTTGGAGAGAGAGAGAGAGAGGAAGTGCAAGTGCAAGCCAGTGGTGGAGCAGGAGGTGAGGGAGAGAATCTCAAGCAGGCTCCCTGCTGAGTGTGGAACTGAGCGTGGGGCTTGATCCCAGGGCCCTGAGCTCATGACCTGAGCTGGAAACCAAGAGTCAGATGCTCAACCAACTGGGCCAGCCAGGTACCCCAAGATCTTTTACCTCTTTGCTTAGGGTTTATTCTTAGGTATCTTATGGTTTTTGGCATATTTTACAGTTTTCTATAGAGAGGTCTCACATATCTCTTACTAGACTTATTCTTGGGTAGTTGAGGTTTCTTGCTGCTGTTTTAAATTGGTATGTTTTAAAGAATCCTTTTTTTATTTGTTTCTGATACATAGAAATATGGTTGTTCTCTGCATATTGACCTTTTATCCAATACTCTTACTTTTTTTATTGTTGATTCTAATTATTTATAAATTCTTTTGTATTTTATGTGTTTTGAATTTTTATTTTATTATTTTTTGAAGATTTTTTAAGGGGGGGGAAGGGCAGAGGGAGAGGGAGAAACAGAATCTTTTTATTTTTATTTTTCATATCCTTGAATCTACATTTATTCCAAGATGGCATTTTTCAAACAGCTTTGGTTATATTTATTTATTTTTATTTATATTAACATATAATGTATTATTTGCCCCAGGGGTACAGGTCTGGGAATCATCAGGCTTACACATTTCACAGCACTCACCATAGCACATTCCCTCCCCAATGTCCATAACCCAGCTACCCTTTCTCTCCCACTCCCCTCCTCTCCAGCAACCCTCAGTTTGTTTTGTGAGATTAAGAGTCTCTTATGGTTTGTCTTCCTCCTGATCCTATCTTGTTTCATTTTTTTCTTCCCTACCCTCCACAACCCCCTGTCCTGCCTCTCAAATTCCTCATATCAGAGAGATCATATGGTTATTGTCTTTCTCTGATTGACTTATTTCACTTAGCATTAATACCATCTAGTTCTATCCACATGCAAATGGTGAGATTTCATTCTTTTTGATGGTTGAGTAATATTCCATTGAGTATATATACCACATCTTTATCCATTCATCTGACGATGGATATCTGGGCTCTTTCCATAGTTTGGCTGTTGTGGACATTGCTGCTATAAACATTCAGGTGCACTTGCCCCTTTGGATCACTACATTTGTATCTTTAGGGTAAATACCCAGTAGTGCAATTGCTGGGTTGTAGGGTAGCTCTATTTTCAACTTTTTGAGGAACCTCCATGCTGTTTTCCAGAGCAGCTGCACCAGCTTGCATTCCCACCAACAGTGTAGGAGGGTTCACCTTTCTCTGCATCCTCGCCAGCATCTGTCATTCCCTGACTTGTTAATTTTAGCCATTCTGACTGGTGTGAGGTGGTATCTCACTGTAGTTTTGATTTGTATTTCCCTGATGCCGAGTGATGTGGAGCACTTTTTCATGTGTCTGTTGGCCATCTGGATGGAGAGACAGAATCTTTTTCTTTCTTTTTTTTTTTTTTTTTAAAGACTTCATTTATTTATTTGACAGAGAGGGAGATCACAAGTAAGCAGAGAGGCAGGCAGAGAGAGACGGGGGAAGCAGGCTCCCCGCTGAGCAGAGAGCCCAATGTGGGGCTCGATCCCAGGACCCTGAGATCATGACCCGAGCCAAAGGCAGAGGCTTTAACCCACTGAGCCACCCAGGCACCCCCTGGAGAGACAGAATCTTAAGCTGGCTCCATGACTGCTGTAGTCTGATGTGGGACTCAATCTTACAACCCTGAGATCATGACCTGAGCTGAAATCAAGTCAGATGCTTAACTGACCCAGCCACCCAGGGCCCCAAAGATTTTATTTTCTTTTGAATAATCTCCACACCCAATGTGGGGCTGAAACTTACATCCCTGAGACCAAGAGTCACACGCTCCATTGACTGAGCCAGTCAGGTGCCTCAGTAAATTCTTTTGTATTTTTCAAAGAATGTAATCTTTATCATCTGTGAATACTGTCAGTTTTATGTCAGTTTTCATTATCATTCTTTCATTTCTTGTTCTTGTCTAGTTAGGACAAGGTCAACCTTGTACTGGTTAGGACCTCCAGGATAATGTTGAATAGAAGTAGAGATACTGGGGTGAATTTTTTTTTTTTTTAAAGATTTTATTTATTTATTTGACAGAGAGAGATCACAAGTAGGCAGAGAGGCAGGCAGAGAGATAGAGGAAGGGAAGCAGGCTCCCCGCTGAGCAGAGAGCCCGATGCGGGGCTCGATCCCAGGACCCTGAGACCATGACCTGAGCCGAAGGCAGAGGCTTAACCCACTGAGCCACCCAGGCGCCCCATGGAGTGAAATTTTTATCTCCGGGTACAATCTCAGAGGGAAAGTTTTTTTTTTTTTTTTTGCCCTACCATTTCCCTATTGAGTACAATGCTTACTCAAAGTTTTCTGTAGAAATCCTTTATCCAATTATGAAAATTGTCTTGTCCAATTTGCTAAGATGTTGAACTTAATCATATACTTTATTGTTGTTTTGAGATCATATGTTGACTGTTAAGACAACTTTGCATTCCTGGAAATATCCTAATTTGGTTATGAGAGATATATATATACATATATATCTAGATATATGTGTATGTATATAGATATATACATATATCTATATATCTTTATATATTTATTTATGTATATATTAATATATTATATAAAATATTTTAATATTATAGAGAACTTATATTTTATATATATTTTATTTTATTTTATATTAATATATAATTATATATTATATATTATAGATCTATAAATATATATATTTATATCTATCTGTATATATAGATATATATAGATACATAGATATATATAGATATATAGATATATAAT